GTCTGGCACATAGTCTGGCACTGGGCTGGCACATGGTCTGGCACATAATGTGGCACTGGTCTGGCCCATAGTCTGGCACTAGTCTGGCACATAGTCTGGCACTGGTCTGGCACATAGTCTGGCACATAGTCTGACACTGGTCTGGCACTGGTCTGGCACATAGTCTGGCACTGGGCTGGCACATGGTCTGGCACATAGTCTGGCACTGGTCTGGCCCATAGTCTGGCACTAGTCTGGCACATAGTCTGGCACTGGTCTGGCACATAGTCTGGCACATAGGCTGGCACATAGTCTGGCACTGGTCTTGCACATAGTCTGGCACTGGGCTGGCACATAGTCTGGCACATAGTCTGACACTGGTCTGGCACATAGTCTGGCACTGGTCTGACACTAGTCTGGCACATAGTCTGGCACATAGGCTGACTCTGGTCTGGCACATAGTCTGGCACTGGTCTGGCACATAGTCTGGCACTGGGCTGGCACATAGTCTGGCACTGGGCTGGCACATAGTCTGGCACTGGTCTGGCACATAGTCTGGCACTGGTCTGGCACATAGTCTGGCACTAGTCTGGCACTGGTCTGGCACATAGTCTGACACTAGTCTGGCACATAATCTAGCACTGGTCTGGCACATAGTCTGGCATTGGTCTGGCACATAGTCTGGCACATAGTCTGGCACATAGTCTGGCACTGGTCTGGCACTGGGCTGGCACATAGTCTGGCACTGGGCTGGCACTGGTCTGTCACATAGGCTGGCACATAGGCTGGCACATAGTCTGGCACATAGTCTAGCACTGGGCTGGCACTGGTCTGGCACATAGTCTGGCATATAGGCTGGCACATAGTCTGGCACATAGTCTGGCACATAGTCTGACACTAGTCTGGCACATAGTCTGGCACATAGTCTGGCACATAGTCTGGCACTGGTCTGGCACTAGTCTGGCACATAGTCTGGCACTGTTCTGGCACATAGTCTGACTCTGGTCAGGCACATAGTCTGGCACATAGTCTGGCACATAGTCTGGCACTGGTCTGGCACATAGTCTGGCACTGGTGTGGCACATGGTCTAGCACATAGTCTGGCACTGGGCCGGCACATAGTCTGGAACTGGTCTGGCACATAGTCTGGCACTGGTCTGGCACATAGTCTGGCACTAGTCTGGCACTGGTCTGGCACTGGTCTGGCACTGGTCTGGCACATAGTCTGGCACCGGTTTGGCACATAGTCTGACTCTGGTCTTGCACATAGTCTGGCACTGGTCTGGCACATAGTCTGGCACTGGCCTGGCACATAGTCTGGCACTGGTCTGGCACATATTCTGGCACTGTTCTGGCACATAGTCTGACTCTGGCCTGGCACATAGTCTGGCACATAGTCTGACACATATTCTGGCACTGTTCTGGCACATAGTCTGACTCTGGTCTGGCACATAGTCTGGCACATAGTCTGACTCTGGCCTGGCACATAGTCTGGCACATAGTCTGACACATATTCTGGCACTGGTCTGGCACATAGTCTGGCACATAGTCTGGCACATAGCCTTGCACTAGTCTGGCACCGGTTTGGCACATAGTCTGGCACATAGTCTGACTCTGGTCTGGCACATAGTCTGGCACATAGTCTGGCACTGGTCTGGCACATAGTCTGGCACTGGTCTGGCACTAGTCTGGCACTGGTCTGGCACTGGTCTGGCACATAGTCTGGCACTGGTCTGGCACATAGTCTGGCACATAGTCTGGCACTGGTCTAGCACATAGTCTGACTCTGGTCTGGCACTGGTCTGGCACATAGTCTGACTTTAGTCTGGCACATAGTCTGGCACTAGTCTGGCCCATAGTCTGACTCTGGTCTGGCACATAGTCTGGCACTGGTCTGGCATATAGTCTGGCACTGGGCTGGCACATAGTCTGACTTTGGTCTGGCACTGGTCTGGCACATAGTCTGGCACTGGGCTGGCACATGGTCTGGCACATAGTCTGGCACTGGTCTGGCCCATAGTCTGGCACTAGTCTGGCACATAGTCTGGCACTGGTCTGGCACATAGTCTGGCACATAGTCTGGCACATAGGCTGGCACATAGTCTGGCACTGGTCTTGCACATAGTCTGGCACTGGGCTGGCACATAGTCTGGCACATAGTCTGGCACTGGTCTGGCACATGGTCTGGCACTGGTCTGACACTAGTCTGGCGCATAGTCTGGCACATAGTCTGGCACATAGTCTGGCACTGGTCTGGCACATAGTCTGGCACTGGTCTGGCACATAGTCTGGCACTGGTCTGGCACATAGTCTGGCACTGGTCTGGCACATGGTCTAGCACATAGTCTGGCACTGGGCCGGCACATAGTCTGGAACTGGTCTGGCACATAGTCTGGCACTGGTCTGGCACATAGTCTGGCACTAGTCTGGCACTAGTCTGGCACTGGTCTGGCACTGGTCTGGCACATAGTCTGGCACCGGTTTGGCACATAGTCTGACTCTGGTCTGGCACATAGTCTGGCACTGGTCTGGCACATAGTCTGGCACTGGTCTGGCACATAGTCTGGCACTGGTCTGGCACTAGTCTGGCACTGGTCTGGCACTGGTCTGGCACATAGTCTGGCACATAGTCTGGCACATAGCCTTGCACTAGTCTGGCACCGGTTTGGCACATAGTCTGGCACATAGTCTGACTCTGGTCTGGCACATAGTCTGGCACATAGTCTGGCACTGGTCTGGCACATAGTCTGGCACTGGTCTGGCACTAGTCTGGCACTGGTCTGGCACTGGTCTGGCACATAGTCTGGCACTGGTCTGGCACATAGTCTGGCACATAGTCTGGCACTGGTCTAGCACATAGTCTGACTCTGGTCTGGCACTGGTCTGGCACATAGTCTGACTTTAGTCTGGCACATAGTCTGGCACTAGTCTGGCCCATAGTCTGACTCTGGTCTGGCACATAGTCTGGCACTGGTCTGGCATATAGTCTGGCACTGGGCTGGCACATAGTCTGACTTTGGTCTGGCACTGGTCTGGCACATAGTCTGGCACTGGGCTGGCACATGGTCTGGCACATAGTCTGGCACTGGTCTGGCCCATAGTCTGGCACTAGTCTGGCACATAGTCTGGCACTGGTCTGGCACATAGTCTGGCACATAGTCTGGCACATAGGCTGGCACATAGTCTGGCACTGGTCTTGCACATAGTCTGGCACTGGGCTGGCACATAGGCTGGCACATAGTCTGGCACTGGTCTGGCACATGGTCTGGCACTGGTCTGACACTAGTCTGGCGCATAGTCTGGCACATAGGCTGACTCTGGTCTGGCACATAGTCTGGCACTGGTCTGGCACATAGTCTGGCACTGGGCTGGCACATAGTCTGGCACTGGGCTGGCACATAGTCTGGCACTGGTCTGGCACATAGTCTGGCACTGGTCTGGCACATAGTCTGGCACTAGTCTTGCACTGGTCTGGCACATAGTCTGGCACTAGTCTGGCACTAGTCGGGCACATAGTCTGGCACATAGTCTGGCACTGGCCTGGCACATAGTCTGGCACATATTCTGGCACTGTTCTGGCACATAGTCTGACTCTGGCCTGGCACATAGTCTGGCACATAGTCTGACACATATTCTGGCACTGTTCTGGCACATAGTCTGACTCTGGTCTGGCACATAGTCTGGCACATAGTCTGACTCTGGCCTGGCACATAGTCTGGCACATAGTCTGACACATATTCTGGCACTGTTCTCGCACATAGTCTGACTCTGGTCTGGCACATAGTCTGGCACATAGTCTGGCACATAGTCTGGCACTGGTCTGGCACTGGTCTGGCACTGGTCTGGCACATAGTCTGGCACTGGTCTGGCACTGGTCTGGCACATAGTCTGACTTTAGTCTGGCACATAGTCTGGCACTAGTCAGGCCCATAGTCTGACTCTGGTCTGGCACATAGTCTGGCACTGGCCTGGCATATAGTCTGGCACTGGGCTGGCACATAGTCTGACTTTGGTCTGGCACTGGGCTGGCACATGGTCTGGCACATATTCTGGCACTGTTCTGGCACATAGTCTGACTCTGGCCTGGCACATAGTCTGGCACATAGTCTGACACATATTCTGGCACTGTTCTGGCACATAGTCTGACTCTAGTCTGGCACATAGTCTGGCACATAGTCTGACTCTGGTCTGGCACATAGTCTGGCACATAGTCTGACTCTGGTCTGGCACATAGTCTGGCACTGGTCTGGCACATAGTCTGACACTAGTCTGGCACATAATCTAGCACTGGTCTGGCACATAGTCTGGCATTGGTCTGGCACATAGTCTGGCACATAGTCTGGCACATAGTCTGGCACTGGTCTGGCACTGGTCTGGCACATAGTCTGGCACTGGGCTGGCACTGGTCTGTCACATAGGCTGGCACATAGGCTGGCACATAGTCTGGCACATAGTCTGGCACTGGGCTGGCACTGGTCTGGCACATAGTCTGGCACATAATCTGGCACATAGTCTGGCACATAGTCTGACACTAGTCTGGCACATAGTCTGGCACTGGTCTGGCACATAGTCTGGCACTGGTCTGGCACTGGTCTGGCACATAGTCTGGCACTGGTCTGGCACATAGTCTGGCACATAGTCTGGCACATAGTCTGGCACTGGTCTGGCACATAGTCTGGCACATAGTCTGACACTGGTCTGGCACATAGTCTGGCACATAGTCTGGCACTAGTCTGGCACATAGTCTGGCTCTAATCTGGTTCCGGGCTGGCAAAAGTCAGACATTGATTGAAAACTAGTCTGGCTCTATAATAATTCTGGCAATAAGTCCTTAGTTTCGACTGCTCTGGGTGCAGTTGCACAAAATAAACTTAGCGCTAAGGTAATTCTTACTCCCATACATTAACATAGAATTACGACAGTAGTAGCGAAAACGTTGTTTTGAACAACGGCGCCCTGGGTTTGATGTTAATTGTTTTGATGATTTGTATTGAAATCAATATCTATGTTTATCTTTACAGGAGCTGCTAAATGCAAGTGGCTACGTCTTCCCGCCGCCGTCTATGGAGCCCACGTCGCCACCACCGTCATCGCTATTGTGTATCACGTGTTCACCTACGACTTCTCCACTTCAAAGCATCCGGGTCCTCGAGATCTAAAGGAGAGAAGCACGTTGTTCGCCATCTACTCGCCATACCTCTTTGTTCCCCTGTTGTTGGTGCTGGACACCACGTTCAGCGCCGCCTATCGGTCGGGTCCGTCTGGCTACAACACCTCTAACAAGAAAAGAAGATGAACCTTTTAGATTCACACGTTTCTTACATCAGGGATTTATTTAAAATGGACCTGACCACAATGCCACGTTATGCTTTAATAGGCTGGATAAATTAAATATTAATTTATATTTTTCTTATATCAGGGCAGAGACCGTATGGTCTGCTATCAGGGATCTATTTAAACGGACCTGACCATAAGGCCACTTTATGCCTTGATGATCTAGATAAGTTGAAATACTAAACGTTTTGTAGAACACCAAGACCAAAGTTATGATTTAACAAAATAATGATGATTTTGTTATATATTGTTCAACTTCCCACACAATTCTCACAAAGAAGTATATAAATTGAAAATTCAATCCAAAGTATGGCCGAACTTGCACCAGGGAGATAGTTTTGTAATTATTGTTTGTATGTGCGCAGTGTTATCATCATCAGCATCACCAGTGTCATCGTCATCGTCATCGCTTTCTTCATCAACGTTTTCATTACTTCATCGTTACTAACAATACGCAAGCTCAGAGCTCGGCAGCGGCTTGCATGGCAACATGGCGGAGGTATAGACCGGCAACTACAACATGGCGGATATATAGACCGGCAACTACAACATGGCGGATATATAGACCGGCAACTACCACATGGTGGATATATAGACCGGCAACTACAACATGGCGGATATATAGACTGGCAACTACAACATGGCGGATATATAGACCGGCAACTACCACATGGCGGATATATAGACCGGCAACTACAACATGGCGGATATATAGACCGGCAACTACAACATGGCGGATATATAGACTGGCAACTACAACATGGCGGATATATAGACCGGCAACTACAACATGGCGGATATATAGACCGGCAACTACAACATGGCGGATATATAGACCGGCAACTACTACATGGCGGATATATAGACCGGCAACTACAACATGGCGGATATATAGACCGGCAACTACCACATGGCGGATATATAGACCGGCAACTACAACATGGCGGATATATAGACCGGCAACTACAACATGGCGGATATATAGACCGGCAACTACAACATGGCGGATATATAGACCGGCAACTACCACATGGCGGATATATAGACCGGCAACTACAACATGGCGGATATATAGACCGGCAACTACAACATGGCGGATATATAGACCGGCAACTACCACATGGCGGATATATAGACCGGCAACTACCACATGGCGGATATATAGACCGGCAACTACAACATGGCGGATATATAGACCGGCAACTACAACATGGCGGATATATAGACCGGCAACTACAACATGGCGGATATATAGACCGGCAACTACCACATGGCGGATATATAGACCGTTTGTAGGTGAGCACCCACCATCACTGCTGCTGTCATGTTCGGTTGCCAATGATTTGCAGGTATCGAATCTATATTCGAAACTTCAAAAAAATAAACACACTCTGTATAACTGATTCGAAATGTAAATGTATGTAGAAGGTGAACGTGTGTCGAACTCGGTTTCCTGAAATGACATGAATGTTAAAAACAATCAATTACATAGATATCATCACAGCACATCGTCCAACAAAATAAACAGCACACTCTGAACGTCTCGATAATAAATTCTTTGACAAACCTATTGCCCAATACTTGTAGCAGTGAAGTAGCTATTGGAGAAACGTTTGCGCGTCAAGGCAAAGAACCAGTCCACGTTCTTCCCCATGGCAACCATGTGTGACGTGGTCCTCCCCGCTGTCGTATGGCTTGAATGTGGATACAGATAGTGCCAAGATAGCCGTGGAGATTTATGTTTGGATTTCAAGGCATTAAATACAATCGATATAAATTCAGACAGGCATTTCAATTCTATTAACTTAGTAGTTGTGATCAAACGTTGAAATGAATGTACATTAGACCATACAAGATATTTCACAGGTGTAAGCGACAATCATTTATCAACAAAGGCTTCACAACATAATATATAATGGAGCTCGTCAGTACAGTTGGAGAATTGCAAAGTGTACATAAGCCTTGATCTTTATGGAATTATTCCATCGGCTCGTCTCAACGGGTAGGTTGTGATTTGGTGTTCCAAATATTAAAAGCGGAATAGCTATAGATTTGGGTAATAGAAGATAGTTTTCAAACGATGGTATTTCCATCTCCATGTCCGGAGTGAGTGAGTGAGTTTGATTTTACGCCGCTTTTTAGCAGTATTCCATCAATATCACGGCGGGTGACACCAGAAATGGGCTTCACACATTGTACCCATGAATCGAACCCGGGTTTTCGGCGTGACGAGCGAACGCTTTAACCACTAGGCTACCCGACCGCCCCTCCCCATGTCTGGAAGAATTGATGTTAGTTCTCTGTCGGTTGAGACAAGCCAGTTTGTATTTAAGTCACCAGGTGTTTTACTTCGCCGAGTCCACACGAGTTCAGTAAACTTTCTACAGGGTTAGACCAGTTACACCGATAAGTGCTAATAATGGCGTCGATGTTAATATAGTCACTATCTAGTTTGGTTATTTTAACTTGTTCAGTATTCGGTACAGTTTTAATCCAGCAACCTAGAGCTCTCTTGACTACTTGGATACTTAGAAGTGCTCTTACTCGTTCGCCATGTACCACTGAAGTAGGTCTCTGTCATGGGTATCAAATCATAACATTAAATGCTTTCAAAATACAGTCAAGTGGAAGGTTAATATCTCGTGATTTTCTCAGAAGATCCTTTATGGGCGACTTTACATCAAATATATTTTTATTTTATTTTTATGGAATTTTATGCCTAATATCTATAGTAGTGAACGATTTCCAGCTGAGTGTTCCCGTGGTGAAATTGTATTTTGTTTGTTTACGGCTTTCCTCTGCCAAAGATAATAATCTCAGATTTAGACATGTGGAAATATCGCTTCCACATTTCGCAATAACTGTACATCGAGTATAAATGCACCGAAATTCTTTCCTCTATGTCTGTTTAATGTATACCAAAACATTCGGCGTATCTCCTCTATAATCATTAGCCTCCCAACCCCCAGCGCTATCTACAAATGTCAATTCACACCTTGCCGGATTTTACGTATGTATATGTTGTTGGTTTGTTGTTTAACGCCGCACTCAGCAATAATCCAGCTGTATGACGGCGGTCTGTTAGTAATCTAGTCTGGACCAGACAATTCTAGTGATTGACTACATTAGCATCGATCCATGGAATTGGGATCGATGACATGCAGTAGCTAAGTCAAACAAACAGAATGGTTGCCCATGAGTATCAGAGGGCACAACACCACTTGCTGCTGAGGATTAGAACAACTGAACGTACTTATGCCCCAAGCTTCAAAGGTGTCGTTAGACGACCGAAGAAGGAGGCTGATGCATAAGCATGCTTCAAACTGGGTCAGCACAACGTCACGTTGCCAACGTCTTTGATGTCAGCCAAAGTTTGCTCAGCAGGGCATGGAATCAGTGCCAGACGTTTGGAACGTGGCAGATTTCTCCTGACTGCAGCAAGACGTCATCACTTCGTGTCTGTCACCACACTCGGAAATAAAAAGCGGAATGCCAGTGGTTTTAACGTTTCTACTCAGTGCGTCATCGTCTCCGTGAGGCTGGTCTCACCAGCGTTCGCTTCCCACTGACCAAACACGACAGGCTGGGCTGAAGATCACGTCAATTGGACAGACCAGGACTGGGGTCCACTACTTATCACATATGAATCGACGCTCAATCATTATTTGGGATAGGATCAGTACAGTTGAGAGAATCGATCCCCACTGCGAGGCATGTTCTTGGAAGCCGATCTTAGTATCCGATCTGCTTGTAGCATGCCCCTGGTCTACCCGATCTGTACACTGTGATGCGATTGGCTCTGCCTAACAGCATGTCGACATCCGATATCTCATTCTTGCTGTAGAATGTTAACGGATCGTTTTTGTTTGTTTCAGATGCGAGCATTGTTTCTTTATGGGTGTAATATTTTGGTTGCAAGACCTGTTTGATATGTGGTGATTCCAGTTAAGAATAGGAGAATCAGTGCTTGTCGGAGAAGGCAACAAAATGGTCCGGATTATTTGACTTCGATGTTGAATGTTACGTCTTTGATTGTTGCTCGTGTTATTAATCACTGGTCTGGCTGGTGCCTGTCGACAGTCCACTGCCACATAGCGGGACTATTGCCACGTTAAACAACAAACAAACATATTATTTCCAAGGTCCTTTCCTCAAGTCTAGGCCCCGGGAATCTTTTACTTTTTTTGTGAATACGGAAACATCTGTCACATGATCACCGCATTCAGGACACTTTCGTATCACGCCTTATCACGTGATATCTCCACACGCCCGGCTATGTACAGTGACTGGTTTCATCTGTGCCTTATCACGTGATATCTCCACACGCCCGGCTATGTACAGTGACTGGTTTCATCTGTGCCTTATCACGTGATATCTCCACACGCCCGGCTATGTACAGTGACTGGTTTCATCTGTTTCCTGGTGGTTCGCACAATACAAGCAGGTACTCCAGCAACGGGCGGTCGGGTAACCTCGTGGTTAAAGCGTTCGCTCGTCACGCCGAAGACCCGGGTTCGATTCCCGGCATGGGTACAATGTGTGAAGCCAATTTCTGGTGTCCCCCGCCGTGATATTGCTGGATTATTGCTAAAAGCGACGTAAAACCTCAGTCACTCACTTCAGCAATACAGTGAGTAAGACCGACCACTAATTTCCTGCGCTGTCCTTTCACATATTCCCTCTGTATCGGAATGAGCGTTTCCTAGAGTTCCACCCTGCTGTTAAATGTGAATCATACTACCGGGAGTTGACAATAACCTGTAGAGGAGTGTCTCTCTTCGTGTGGGTGGGCGATCTGATTACACGCTCGAGTGGTCGCTAGTGCGTGGCTGATTCTCTTCATGTGTCTGACCCGTGAAGATCCGGGGTAGAATAGGTCTTCATCAACCCATGCTTCCCGTGAAGATCCGGGGTAGAATAGGTCTTCATCAACCCATGCTTGCCGTGAAGATCCTGGGTAGAATAGGTCTTCATCAACCCATGCTTGCCGTGAAGATCCGGGGTAAAATAGGTCTTCATCAACCCATGCTTGCCGTGAAGATCCGGGGTAAAATAGGTCTTCATCAACCCATGCTTGCCGTGAAGATCCGGGGTAGAATAGGTCTTCATCAACCCATGCTTGCCGTGAAGATCCGGGGTAAAATAGGTCTTCATCAAACCATGCTTGCCGTGAAGATCCGGGGTAGAATAGGTCTTCATCAACCCACGCTTGCCGTGAAGATCCGGGGTAGAATAGGTCTTCATCAACCCTTCCTTGCCGTGAATATCCGGGGTAGAATAGGTCTTCATCAACCCATGCTTGCCGTGAAGATCCGGGGTAGAATAGGTCTTCATCAACCCATGCTTGCCGTGAAGATCCTGGGTAGAATAGGTCTTCATCAACCCATGCTTGCCGTGAATATCCGGGGTAGAATAGGTCTTCATCAACCCATGCTTGCCGTGAAGATCCGAGGTAGAATAGGTCTTCATCAACCCATGCTTGCCGTGAAGATCCGAGGTAGAATAGGTCTTCAGCAACCCATGCTTGCCGGAAAAGGCGACTATGCTTGTCGTAAGAGGCGACTAACGGGATCGGGTGGTCAGGCTCGCTGACTTGGTTGATGCATGTCATCGTATCCCAATTGCGTGGATCGATGCTCATATCTATCACTGGAATTTCTGGACCAGACTCGATAATTTACAGACCGCTGTCATATAGCTGGAATAATGCTGAGTGCGGCGTTGAACAACAAACAAACAAATCTTAATGTCACACTCAGATCATTCGTTTTAAAAGATATCAGTTTCAAGTAATAGTTGTGTGATAATAATGAACGCATTGGGAATATATTACAAATAGTGAAGACGAGTGACAGAAGATGTTCTGACCGCAAAGGACACTCGGGGTAAGATGGGAAATGAGTCTCCCGATGGCGATTTGAGGGAGTCCGACCCACTCCCCTTGCAGCGCCTGACCAAGGTCAGCCAACGTAGTATTCTCCACTCACTCCACCTATTCTTTCTACCTACTCACTCTACAAACTCTCTACCTATTCAGTCAGCCCACGCACCCTACCCACCCGCTGTGCAGTTTCGGCCCCTGGGCACGGCAAAAATCCATGCACGTGGGTTTCACCAAAGTGGTAATCGTCTGAGACCTGCACCACTCCTGGCTTTCCTCCCGGAAACAAACTGTCTCCAACCCACTCACTCACTTCTCCATCGACGGCCATCTGTCTTCGTGCCATGTCTCCACCCCAACGTGGCTCGCCTTGGTGATTTGTTTGTCTATCGGAGCCGGATATGACGTGATCTATATCCTGGTACAATCCGGCTGTGCAGTCATCCACGACGTGAGCAATCACGCTCCACTTTTCTCAGGAAGCGGCTCTCCGCCAGTCAACGCCAGTCAACATGGGCCTCAGGACGGCACTAGACGTGGTCTTCTGTGGCTATTTCGTCTTCCAAATCCCCTCCACCGTGTTGTTCGACACACAGGCGCTGTTCCCGTCCTGGGTCTATCCGCAGTGGGTGAGTACTGAGAGAGAGGGGACTGTGGAGGGAGCGGGGGCTGGACTGTGTGTGTATGTAGGATTAGGGGATTGTACTGTGTCTGCTCGTGGGAGCGTGCATGTCAGGGCGGGGGGCTGTACTGTGCGTGTGTGTGTGTGTGGGGGGGGGGGGGGGGGGGGGGGGGCTGTACTGTGTGTGTACAGGGGGGCTGTACTGTGTGTGTATGTGTCGGGGGTTGGGGCTGTACTGTGTGTGCATGTCAGGGGGGGGGGGGGGGGCTGTGTGTGTGTGTGTGTGGGGGGGGGGGGGGGGGGGCTGTACTCTGTGTGTTTGGGGGGGCTGTACTGTGTGTGTATGTCAGGGGTGGGGGTGGGGCTGTACTCTGTGTGTATGTCAGGGCTGGGGGGGGGGGGGGGCGCTGTACTGTGTGTGCATGTCAGGGCGGGGGGCTGTACTGTGTGTGTGTGGGAGGGGGGGGGGGGGGGGCTGTACTGTGTGTGTACAGGGGGGCTGTACTTTGTGTGCATGTCAGGGCGGGGGGCTGTACTGTGTGTGTATGTGGGGACTGTGCTGTGTATGTGGGGGTGCATGGGGGTCTGTACTGTGTGTGTATGTGGGATTAGGGGATTGTACTGTGTCTGCTCGTGGGAGCGAGGGTCTGTACTGTGTATGCATGTCAGGGCGGGGGTGGGGGGGGCTGTACTGTGTGTTCATGTCAGGGCGGGGGGGGGGGGGGGGCTGTGTGTGTGTGGGGGGGGCTGTACTCTGTGTGTTTGGGGGGGCTGTAATGTGTGTGCATGTCAGGGCGGGGGGCTGTACTGTTTGGGGGTGGGCGGGGGTGGGGTGGGGCTGTACTGTGTGTGTACAGGGGGGCTGTACTTTGTGTGTATGTGTGTGTATGTGTCGGGGGTTGGGGCTGTACTGTGTGTGCATGTCAGGGCGGGGGGCTGTACTGTGTGTGTGTGGGCGGGGGTGGGGTGGGGCTGTACTGTGTGTGTACAGGGGGGCTGTACTTTGTGTGTATGTGTGTGTATGTGTCGGGGTGGGGGCTGTACTGTGTGTGCATGTCACGGCGGCGGGGGGGGGGCTGTGTGTGGGGGGGGCTGTACTCTGTGTGTTTGGGGGGGCTGTACTTTGTGTGCATGTCAGGGCGGGGGGCTGTACTGTGGGGGGGGGGGGGGGGGGGGGGGCTGTACTGTGTGTGTACATGGGGGCTGTACTTTGTGTGCATGTCAGGGAGGGGGGCTGTACTGTGTGTGTATGTGTCGGGGGGGGGGGGGGGGGGCTGTACTTTGTGTGTATGTGGGGACTGTGCTGTGTATGTGGGGGTGCATGGGGGGCTGTACTGTGTGTGTATGTCAGGGGTGGGGGGGCTGTACTGTGTGTGCATGTCAGGGCGGGGGGCTGTACTGTGGGGGGGGGGGGGGGGGGGGCTGTACTGTGTGTGTACAGGGGGGCTGTACTTTGTGTGCATGTCAGGGAGGGGGGCTGTACTGTGTGTGTATGTGTGTGTATGTGTCGGGGGGGGGGGGGGGGGGGGCTGTACTTTGTGTGTATGTGGGGACTGTGCTGTGTATGTGGGGGTGCATGGGGGGCTGTACTGTGTGTGTATGTTGGGGGGGAGGGGGGGCTGTACTCTCTGTGTGTACGGGGTGCAGCATAGGGGACTGTTAGTGTGTGTATTTGGGGCTGTAATTTCTGTCAGGTTATAACTACTCCAGCTTTAGAGTCGCTGTTAGGTCCAGAGACATGAACTTGTAGCAGGGATCCACTTTTACTGTTAGATGTTGAATTTATAAAGTGAAAGTAATTATACATGTCATTGTAAATAAAACGTGTGTTTCTCTGTACGTATGCATGTGTAAGTGTGTGCCTGCGAGAGCGTGCGTGTGAGTGCGCGTGAGTGTATCTGTGTGTAAGGTGTGTGTCTCTGCGTGCATGGATGTGCGTGCGTGCGTGCGTGTGTGCTTATGTATTTGCTTGCGTTTGTGCATGTGTGATGTGTGTATGTGCATTTAAATTTAGTTCTAAAATGTTTTCTCTAATGCTGTCACGACTACGGTTGCGGACGTTATCAAACCGGAAGTAGATCCATCTGCCCGGAAGTTCATATTCCTTTGTCATTAAGTAAACAATCCTGACCATGTTCTCCCAAACCGGAAGTGACCTTACAGTACATAAGGTTTTCATAAAGTCGGCTGAGGTGGTTGTTCTTTGGTGACATTAAAGACATGGATGTGGGATATTTACTGCCGGGTCTGCTTGTGATAGTGGAAGTACTTCCTGGTTTCTAAAACCTCTTTCCTCAGAAGTGTTCTGATACTGTAAATGAATGCCGGTCACTATTATGAAGTCTAGTTTTGGCATCAAAATTTAAAGTTTAATTGTTGGGAAACTACAGGAAAAAAAGAAACTGTGCTTCATATTAGGTGAGGTGAGGTGAAATGGGGTTTAACGTCGCGTCCAGATGTTGTCTACACCAAGCTAGGTGCCTGACGGTGACGTGAAAGCAAACTTGGGCGTATTGTTAGACGTCGGGCCGGATGTTGTGCTCCCTCAACTGGTTGCGTACGGTTCTGCCTCTTATAGGTTTTAACCCATGAATTGTCTGAGCTGGTAATGTCGCAGTTTGATATAGATTCCGTAGATGCACCAACCGAATATGGTTGTCATGTTTACGTGACGTCACACGAGGACGGTCGGTCAGTGAGTGTTGCCCTGCTGCAGATAGCGTCTGCAAAAAGATAATGTTGTGCTTCGATGAACATTAAAATGTCTGGCAACTTCGTTTTTGTGCCATTCCTGTTTGCAGTATATCCGCGGCGCGTGGACGTTCATGTTCAGCAAGTCCCCGCTTTGCGTCAACGTTACTACGGCACCTGATAGCTGAACAATCATTGCGTGCAGTTCATATTAAAAACAGACGTGTATTAGTATCATGCTCCCAACAAACACGCAAACATTCAACCTTAAAGTCGAGGAGATGTCTTCATGAATATCTTATTGAAGATGGATCATTTAATCTCAGAATACATTTACTTTCATTGAACTTTATATGAAGCACAGTTACATTTTTCAGTCAGTATATACATTGCAGCAGTGTTAAACAATAGCACCACAACTTGTTGCAGGTTAACGTATTTAAATACCGATATTGACTGCAACTAAAATTAAGTTCCTTCTTAATTAAGTGTCGTAGTCTCTCGAGGGTCCACGAGGCTATATTGTACTCTCTCGAGGATAAAGGAGGCTAAGTTGTACTCTCTCGAGGATCAAGGAGGCTATGTTGTACTCTCTCGAAGATCCAGGAGGCTATGTTGTACTCTCTCGAAGATAAAGGAGGCTATGTTGTACTCTCTTGAGGATCCAGGAGGCTATGTTGTACTCTCTCGGGGATCAAGGAGGCTATGTTGTACTTTCTCTAGGATCCTGGAGGCTATGTTGTACTCTCCCGGGGATCCAGGAGGCTAGGTTTTACACTCTCGAGGATCCAGGAGGCTAGGTTGTACTCTCCCGGGGATCCAGGAGGCTAGGTTGCACTCTCTCGAGGGTCCAGAGGCTATTTTGTACTTCGCGAGGGTCCGTTTGTTTAAATGTAGCCTGTAAGCATGGGAAGTATTGTACGTAAACATGCAACAACGACGCATCGCCACGCTGCATCAACTCGTCACCTCTCCACGACGCATCATCTCGTCACCTCTCCACGACGCATCATCTCGTCACCTCTCTACGGCGCATCATCACGTCACCTCTCCACGACGCATCATCACGTCATCTCTCCACGACGCATCATCACGTCACCTCTCCACGACGCATCATCACGTCACCTCTCCACGACGCATCATCACGTCACCTCTCCACGACGCATCATCTCGTCACCTCTCCACGACGCATCATCTCGTCATCTCTCCACGACGCATCATCTCGTCACCTCTCCACGACGCATCATCACGTCACCTCTCCACGACGCATCATCTCGTCACCTCTCCACGACGCATCATCACGTCACCTCTCCACGACGCATCATCTCGTCACCTCTCCACGACGCATCATCTCGTCACCTCTCTACGGCGCATAATCACGTCACCTCTCCACGACGCATCATCACGTCACCTCTCCACGACGCATCATCACGTCACCTCTCCACGACGCATCATCTCGTCACCTCTACACGACGCATCATCACGTCACCTCTCCACGACGCATCATCTCGTCACCTCTCCACGACGCATCATCTCGTCACCTCTCCACGACGCATCAACACGTCATCTCTCCACGACGCATCATCACGTCACCTCTCCACGATGCATCATCTCGTCGCCTCTCCACGACGCATCATCTCGTCATCTCTCCACGACGCATCATCTCGTCACCTCTCCACGACGCATCATCTCGTCACCTCTCCTCGACGCACCATCTCGTCACCTCTCCACGACGCATCAACACGTCATCTTTCCACGACGCATCATCACATCACCTCTCCACGACGCATCATCACGTCACCTCTCCATGATGCATCATCACGTCACCTCTCCACGACGCATCATCTCGTCATCTCTCAACGACGCATCAACACGTCACCTCTCCACGACGCATCATCTCGTCACCTCTCCACGACGCATCATCACGTCACCTCTCCACGACGCATCATCTCGTCACCTCGCCACGACGCATCATCTCGTCACCTCTCCACGACGCATCAACACGTCATCTCTCCACGACGCATCATCACGTCACCTCTCCACGATGCATCATCTCGTCACCTCTCCACGACGCATCATCTCGTCATCTCTCCACGACGCATCATCTCGTCACCTCTCCTCGACGCACCATCTCGTCACCTCTCCACGACGCATCAACACGTCATCTTTCCACGACGCATCATCACATCACCTCTCCACGACGCATCATCACGTCACCTCTCCATGATGCATCATCACGTCACCTCTCCACGACGCATCATCTCGTCATCTCTCGACGACGCATCATCACGTCACCTCTCCACGACGCATCATCACGTCACCTCTCCACGATGCATCATCACGTCACCTCTCCACGACGCATCATCTCGTCACCTCTCCACGACGCATCATCTCGTCACCTCTCCACGACGCATCATCACGTCATCTCTCGACGACGCATCATCACGTCACCTCTCCACGACGCATCATCACGTCACCTCTCCACGACGCATCATCTCGTCACCTCTCCACGACGCATCATCACGACACCTCTCCACGACGCATCATCACGTCACCTCTCCACGTCGCATCATCACGTCTCCTCTCCACGACGCATCATGTCGTCATCTCTCGACGACGCATCATCACGTCACCTCTCCACGACGCATCATCACGTCACCTCTCCACGACGCATCATCTCGTCACCTCTCGACGACGCATCATCACTTCAGCTCTCCACGACGCATCATCACGTCACCTCTCCACGACGCATCATCTCGTCACCTCTCCACGAGGCATCATCTCGTCATCTCTCGACGAAGCATCATCACTTCACCTCTCCACGACGCATCATCACGTCACCTCTCCACGACGCATCATCTCGTCACCTCTCCACGAGGCATCATCTCGTCACCTCTCCACGACGCATCATCACGTCACCTCTCCACGACGCATCATCACGTCACCTCTCCACGACGCATCATCACGTCACCTCTCCACGACGCATCATCACGTCATCTCTCGACGACGCATCATCACGTCACCTCTCCACGACGCATCATCTCGTCACCTCTCCACGACGCATCATCTCGTCACCTCTCCACGACGCATCATCACGTCACCTCACCACGACGCATCATCACGTCACCTCTCCACGACGCATCATCTCGTCATCTCTCGACGACGCATCATCACTTCAGCTCTCCACGACGCATCATCACGTCACCTCTCCACGACGCATCATCTCGTCACCTCTCCACGAGGCATCATCTCGTCACCTCTCCACGAGGCATCATCTCGTCACCTCTCAACGACGCATCATCACGTCACCTCTCCACGACGCATCATCACGTCACCTCTCCACGACGCATCATCTCGTCATCTCTCGACGACGCATCATCACATCACCTCTCCACGACGCATCATCACCTCACCTCTCCACGATGCATCATCATGTCACCTCTCCACGACGCATCATCTCGTCACCTCTCCACGACGTATCATCACGTCACCTCTCCACGACGCCTCGTCATATGGCATCACTATGTCACCTGACAACATAGTGTCAGTCGCCCGGTCTCACAACTTACATGACCTCTGTTCTCGGGGTCAGGCCTACTTCTGTCCACAAGGAGCTGCCGACTGTGGCCGGACGTGGTCTATCAGACTTGCATTCCGTCCTTGCGGAAGCGCAATTCACTCCAATTAGCACACTATAGTACTAACATAGAGCTATGAGCATCGAACACGCGTGCCTCATATTTGACAATATGCAAACAAATGTGGCTCTTGTTTACCTCGGAAATGTCGCCCCCAACACGTTTGATGGAACAGCTTTGTTTTAGTCGAGTTGAAATCGGGTGATTGATTGCGTTCATGACCACTCGGGACGGGGGCGTCCGCTACTGACGTCAGAATGCCTTTCAGTGGTTCGAATCCCATTTTATGCTTACTGCTTGTGGGTTTGACCAAAGTATTTAAGGTCGGCTGCCTGCCGTTATATCATTGAAATATTCCTCACATCCGCGACAGAAATAATATCTAACGTACTCATTATCATCAGAGTAGGGCATACAGGACCCCCCCCCCCCCCCCCCCCCCCACACACACACACACACATTCAAAATACTACAAACACACATACACACACACTCATGCAGTACGGCATATAGGATTCCACCAACTCACAAGAAAGAGGCGTAGCCTTACATTTTTCGACATAAATAAATTATATAATATCACAAAAATGAAATGAGGGTATGTTTTTATCTTATGTGTTGTTTATCAATCTTTCCTTATTTTCAGTTGAAAAATATGCGGCTTTCCTACCTTAAAGATTTCCGTGATCCCTACATGGCGGACCCGAGTTCTTTCCCTTGGTTCATGGCCACGTGTGCGGTTGAGTTCTCCCTAGAAATACCTTACTTCTTCGTTGCAGCATATGCATATTTCTATGGTAAGTCTCGATATTAATGTCATGATGTAATTGTGACGTAGTCACACACCCCCCCTCCCCTTCCCTTAACTAGTCAGTTAACGTGCAGCACTTGATTAGTTGTGAAGTACGAATTGATTGTTAGTCATACAACGTAGCATCTCTATCCAATTTGTTTTCCACATTCCTGATTCCCAGGTTCGGTTTATCCTTAAACCACGTGATAGAGAACAGACAAGGACACAGGCTGTAATGTAAAGGTTTATATTATAGCTCACCCGCATTCGCTCACTCACTCACTCATTCACACAGGTGCGCGGCGTTGCCCCTGGATACGGCTACCGTCGTTGATGTACAGCGTCCACACTGCAACGTCTGTCCTCGCCATCATCTTCACCACGTGGCTGCACGACTTTACCTTGTACAAGGTGGCGGGGCCACGTGATGTCACGGAGAGGATGCGGCTGATCTGCGTGTACGGCTTCTTCTTCGTGGTGTGCGTCCTCAACATCCTCGACACGTGCTTCAGCTCAGCGTACAACAGAGACAAGGAGAAGACCAACTGAGGCAGTGGCTGGAAACACCAGCATCAGTTGGAGGTAGTCATCGAGTGGTCAGTTCAAGCGCTGTTTCCTGTGGTTCTGTTGGAGGTAGTCATCGAGTGGTCAGTTCAAGCGCTGTTTACTGTGGTTCTGTTGGGTGTCGCTTGATGACTTCCTCTAAAGATGGGGAAGAAGATAATGGCTTCTCTCTGCTGCTGAGCCGCCTCAGTGATCTGCTTGTAGAGCGTCTGCCCGGAGAGTGGAAGGTCGGGGGTTCGATCCCCGGCCGCGTCATACCGAAAGACGTTAAAAAAAGTGGTACTTATTGTAAACCTGCCTGGCACTTCGGCATTAAGGGTCTAAAACAAGGACTATCACCTCGGAGTCAGTATCCTGTGTCTGAGTGGGGTATTCATGTTATACTGCGGCATGATATCTCAGTGGGCTAGCACAATAAAATCGGCATTTGTCCGTACAGACACGTGCATGCACGTCGCAATATAAGTGCAACAATCTTGAACGCGACGTTGAACCCCATTTCACCTCAACTCACCTCACCTCACCTCACCTCACCTCACCTCACCTCACCTCACCTCACCTCACCTCTGTGTTGTGATGAAATGGACGTGGTCTTACCTCCATCACGAATTTCAGCTTAATGTATAGCGTGAGATATCATGGAAAGCCTGATGTGATGCAGGTCTTGGACGTTTATCAAATTGGTGAAACCCACGAAACCGTGCGGGGGCGGATTTAGAAACATAAACCTGGCGAGTCGGGGACTCTGAAACCACGAGGAGGACGCCAAGATCTGTGGCGTCCCCTCCACTACCGATACTCCAGAACACGCGTTACAATAAGTAGAATATGCTGTGTGTTTATGTAAGTACATAAAAAAGGTTTTTCAAAAGCGTTTTTATCCTTAAATCCTCGTATGTTTCTTGTTACGGTGTATGTTGAAAAAAACCTACAAGGTATATGGCTTCACGTGTGTACATGCACGTGTGTTGTGATAGACATATATACCTAGCTGTGGAATGAAGTCATAGACAAACTTAGTTTCACACTTAGACGGTCAGTTTCTGTGCGATCGATTGCTGAGGCCAGGGAACGTACAATCAGCTGTTGTGTACATGGCGACAACGAAGAGTTCCTGCAGGACATAGGTTCACTCACTCACCCACTCCTTAAGACTCACTCACTCACTCCTTAAAGAGTATTAGATGTCGGGGCCTTGCTGTCCGGGTCCTGCATACTGTGAACTGGTGCCTTGTCTTTGATACTAAGGGACTCGGCTTTCTTCTCCTCCGGACCAGACTGGTTGGTTGGTTTGTTGTTGAACGCACTCAGCAATATTCCAGCCATATGACGGCGGTCTGTAAATAATCGAGTCTGGACCAGACAATCCAGTGATTGATATCATGAGCATCGATCCACGCAATTGGGATGACATGTATCAACCAAGACAGCGAATTTGATCACCCGATCCGTCATAGTCGCCTTTTACAGCAAGAATACGTTGTTGTGACGGACAAACGTTTGAAGCACTCGCCTGCACCACCGTCCGTGTCGATAGGGGGTACTTGTGTCTGCCGCGCAAGTGTAGAGGGTCACTGTATCTACACGACGTGCTGGTGAACTGGGCGCTGCCTAGAAAGCTTCAATTCCGTGGGAAGTCAAGCTGGCTACCCCAGTATATATCTTTCCTGAATAAAGATCAGTTTCTCGTTGTCTCATTGCCCGATTCCCACTATATAGGTTAAGTTCCTTGAACAAATTATATCCTTTTTCTATCAGGATGATTCCTCTTCCTCCTCAGCAACAAGGATGCTGTGAATCAGCCATCTGTTCGGCGTCATCAGCACTCCAATCACCCCCAACCCCCCACGATCTTCTCTCTATCCGTCCACGATCTACTTCCTGTATCCTGAGCGTGTTGTCACGTAATAAAGACAATGGGGATCGAAAAATGTATTCAACCGACAACGCGGTTAGGGACCCGGATGCTGGATATATGTATTTGTTATTCGACTCGAAAAATAAAGTACCGGTAGTTTGTGGTACTTTTGTTAAGTCTGTGCCCGGATAGTACTGGTAAAACGCAAAACTACACGACCGGAATTTATGTTTCCCAGTTGGACACTGTACCAACTTTAACGTGCTTGGCAGCTTTCACGTACACCTTGTGTGAACTCAATGTAGAGAGGTTACATGGAGTTTGGGTGGGGTGCAGTGTGTGTGTGTGTGTGTGTGTGTGTGTGTGTGTGTGTACTAAGGGACTTGGCAGTCAAAGCAGGACCGATTTATTTTTCACCCACTCCAGAAATACCTTGTTGTTCATTTCTGTGTGGTAGTCCTTGTTTTCCTTGGCCTTGGCTCGAAAGACGAGGTCACAGAGAAATGAGGAGAAATCCCTGACAAGCACAGCAAGCATGGAGAAGGATAAGTCGTTCACCTTCTCCCAATGGTTACTTTCTCCCCGACTCCCGACAGTCCTCCCTGGGTACCGGGTGACAGCTGGCTGTGTGAGAGGCACTTACCCATGTCTCATCTTGCAAAACAGGCTCATATCCTTCTTCACGTTTTTGCTTGATGGTTCTGAGACAATGATTTCGGAGACGAAGGATGTCAGATCGTCCACATAACACAGTCCTAATTTGCCCACTTATCATGTTGTATCTGTTTATAAACATATGCAACGTTTCCATAGCGTGTACTTTGTAACAATTAAATCATGTTCAGTTTTAAGGTATTTCTTCAAGTCGTAGTGACATGTACTAACTTTCTAAAGTTTAACAATTGCACGTCTGACTTGATTTTTCTGAAAACTGTCTAATTTATCCACTCTACATGGTTTTAACATGTTGCCCACCTACTTCGCCTGATTGCCGGAGTCCCGTCGGAGAACATTTTGCTTGTTAGAAGACATACCCAGAGCTTTAGAAGCTCGTTTCAAGTGTTTATTAATGGTATAAAATGGTTTTCTTCTTTCTGCTTCACAATGATAGAAAGCATACACCTTAAAATCAACTGTAACACATCAGCTGACGTCAATCGACGTATATACTCGGACCCCGTTGTATCGCGGCATGTTATTTCCGTTAGCGGTTGTATATTTATGCAAATCAGTAACCAGGAAGTGCGCGCCTCGTAAACAATTTCAATTTCCTCGGACTATTCCGTCTACTTTGATCATTTATTAATACGTTGATACTAGTTATGGCATCTTTTTAATATTGCTTTACCCCTATCTGTCAATGGTCAATGATATAACCCGCAATTTTCCAAGTAAGCTTTCTCCTACGACCTGAACTAAATCGTCTGCATATTCATGATGAAAAATTAGGTCACGGAAGTGACGTAGTTCGCACATAATTCCCGCTAGGTGGCCAAATATTTTAGGAGACTTTTAGGGCCACCATACCAGACTTAGCAATACGTTCGTCACTAGTAGCCAAAATGATAAATACATACTGTTGTCATTAAAGGAGTGCTTTTTATATGTTTATTGTTAACCATCAACACTTTTTTCACCTTTTTGACAAATCATTGTCATCCTATTTCTTAAATAAAAATCTAAAAGTATCTTTTCGGATATTTTGTTGTTGATATTTGTTTTTAAATTCTTACTTTTCGGTAAATGCATTGAATACCTATTAATTATTACACATACAGAATTGTACTCGTGCTGTTTTTGCACTTGTCTGGATAATTCACCGAAGTCAAATATTACCCATAATGCACTGGGGTTATGAGGCAGGTGTGTTTTCGGATGGCAAGTATCTTGTATTGTGAATAAGCATTAGATTACTGGAATATTGCTGAGTGCGGCGTTAAACAACAAACATACAAACAAAACACAACCTACATTGACGGACACATCAAAATGACACGTTATGTCGGGGGAAAGAAGGATGTTATGAACACAAAGAGGCATTGAAAGAAATGTCGAGTTGCAGAGCGAGAGATGATGCCTTGGTGCGGATTAACCCGGACATGCTACCATCACCAGATCTCATCTCACGCGCAGAGAGCTCAGTGATGGGCGGAAGCGATGTGCACGCTATCCTTCCACAAACACATGTTCATACTGATTGCTAATATTAAAGGACCCGTGGAATTCCGGGCAGAGAATAGGTCTTCATCACCCCATGCTTGCCGTAAGAGGCGACTAACGGGATCGGGTGGTCAGGCTTGCTGACTTTTGATTCATTCATCGTATCTCAATTGTGTGGATCGATGCTCATGATGTCAATAACTCGATTGTCTGGTGCAGACTTGATTATTTATAGACCGCCGTCATATATTTAGATGCATGAGGCGTGTATCAGACCTGCATGAGACGTGTATCAGACCTGCATGAGACGTGTATCAGACCTCCATGAGACGTGTATCAGACCTGCATCAGACGTGTATCAGACCTCCATGAGACGTGTATCAGACCTGCATGAGATGTGTATCAGACCTGCATGAGACGTGTATCAGACCTGCATAAGACCTCCAAGAGACCTTTATCAGGCCTCCACGAGACGTGTATCAGGCCTCCACGAGACGTGTATCAGGCCTCAATGAGACGTGTATCAGGCCTCCAATTATTGTGTATCAGACCTATAAGAGAAGTGTATCAGGCCTGCATGAGACGTGTATCACGCCTCCACGAGACGTGTATCAGACCTCCATGAGACGTGTATCAGACCTCCACGAGAGGTGTATCAGACCTGCATGAGACGTCTATCAGACCTGCATGAGACGTGTATCAGGCCTCCATGAGACGTGTATCAGACCTGCATGGGACGTGTATCAAGCCTCCATGAGACACGTATCAGGACTCTAGGAGACATGTATCAGACCTACATGAGACGTGTATCAGGCCTCAACGAGACATGTATCAGACCTGCTCAAGAGGTGTATCAGGCCTCCACGAGACGTGTATCAGATATGCATGATACGTGTTTCAGACGTCGATGAGACGTGCATCAGACCTCCATGAGACGTGTATCAGCATCCATGAGATATGTATCAGACCTACATGAGATATGTATCAGGCCTCCACGAGACGTGTATCATACCTGCACAAGATGTGATTCAATGCATCATGAGACTTGTATCAGACCTGCATGAGACGTGTATCAGACCTGCATGAGATGTGTATCAGACCTGCATGAGAGGCGTATCAGGCCTCCATGAGACGTGTATCAGACCTGCACAAGACGTGTATCAGACCTGCATGAGACCTGTATCGGACCTGCATGAGACATTTATCAGACCTGCATGAGACCTGTATCAGACCTGCATGGGACCTGTTTCGGACCTGTATCACACCTGCATGAGACATGTATCGGACCTGCACAAGACATGTATAAGACCTCCATGAGACCTGTTTCAGACCTGTATCACACCTTCATGAGATGCGTATCAGACCTGCATGAGACCTGTATCAGATCTGCATGAGACCTGTATCAGACCTGCATGAGATGCGTATCAGACCTGCATGAGACATGTATCAGATCTGCATGAGACCTGTATCAGACCTGCATGAGACCTGTATCAGACCTGCATGAGACCTGTTTCAGACCTGCATGAGACGCGTATCAGACCTGCATGAGACGTGTTTCAGACCTGCATGAGACCTGCATGAGACCTGCATGAGACCTGTATCAGACCTGCATGCAACATAATATCAGGTTGCACTGTTCAGTATTAAGTTTCCCAGCTTCGTGTATGTTAGAGCTACGTTTGAAACCTACTTGACTGCAGCAGCAAATTTTCAAACTTGTTCCAACTAAGCTGCACATAAGATAAGAGAAGTTAGACAGACAGAGAAGGTCCCTGTGAACTCCATTGGTCAATAACTAATTGAATAAAAGAAACCCAAATCACAAATCTGTGAGACAGTTTTATTTACAAAATACACTATTTTACAGGGAAAATAACATTATCTTAATGATAAAATAATTTTAAATTTACACTGACTGTACAGAGTCCCGATTTTAGGGCAGCCCGGAGGGAGGCTGCAGGCTACTTTATGTTAGCTGAACACTGGCCACACAAATCACTGCCACAACCACAGGCAACAATTCTCGTTAGTAATGTACGATTTACTGTCACACAAACCTACACGGATCTCCCGAATAATTAACTGAGCATGGCAGTTACTCTAAACATCGAGATATATTTCTAGTATTTGATTATAAAAAAATGTTATGACACTATTCATATTCATAAGTTTTCATGTATGCCAACTTTAGCTTGACCTTGACCCTCCCAAAATGTATGCCAACTTAAGCGTGACCTTGACCCTACCAAAATGTATGTCATCTGTAGGGTGACCTTGACCCTCCCTGATTGTATTCATCGTTATCGGGACGTCCAGGTAGCCTAGTGATTAACGTGCTTGCTTGTCATGTCAAAGACCCAGGTTCGGTTCCCCACATGGGTACAATGTGTAAAGCCCTTTCTGGTGTCCCCTGCCGTGATGTTGCTCGAATAGTGCTAAAAGCAGCGTAAAACCATATTCACTCATTTTTAGCATGACCTTGACCCTCCACGAGTTGTATCAATCTTAGGATGATCTAAATCCTCTGGAGTTGTGTGTGGACCAGCCGGCAACTCTTTAGCTATCCTGTTACCCTGAGGCAAGTAATTATCATCAACTGAAGTCAAATTAAGTTGGAAACCGTTCCATCTATTTTCAGTCCATGGAAGGCCATTGATCCTCAAGCATATTCAAGATTCCCACACTCTGCCCAAAACTCAATTCAAAGCACATTTTCACGACATAGCAAATGTTTCTCAATGTCATCAGAGCCCTCATCCCCAGTACAGACCCAGGAGAGTGTCGTGTATTAACCCTCCCTCCCCCACGAGAACCTGTATTAACCCTCCCTCCCCTACGAGAGCCTGTATTATCCCTCCCTCCCCACAAGAGCCTCTCTTAACCCTCCCTTCCCACAAGAGCCTGTATTAACCCTCCATCCCCCACAAGAGCCTGTCTTAACCCTCCCTCTCCTACAAGAGCCTGTATTAACCCTACCTCCCCTACCAGAGCCTGTATTAACCCTCCCTCCCCTACAAGAGCCTGTATTAACACTCCCTCCCCTACAAGAGCCTGTATTAACCCTCCCTCCCCTACAAGAGCCTGTATTAACCCTCCCTCCCCTACAAGAGCCTGTATTAACCCTCCGAGAACCTGTCTTAACCCTCCCTCCCCACAAGAGCCTGTATTAACCCTCCATCCCCTACAAGAGCCTGTCTTAACCCTCCCTCCCCTACAAGAGCCTGTATTAACCCCCTCCCCTACAAGAGCCTGTATTAACCCTTCCTCCCCTACAAGAGCCTGTATAACCCTCCCTCCCCACAAGAGCCTGTATTAACCCTCCATCCGCCACAAGAACCTGTCTTAACCCTCAATCCCCACAAGAGCCTGTATTAACCCCCTACAAGAGCCTGTATTAACCCTCCCTCCCCTACAAGAGCCTGTATTAACCCTCCGAGAACCTGTATTATCCCTCCCTCCCCCACAAGAGCCTGTATTAACCCTCCCTCCCCTACAAGAGCCTGTATTAACCCTCCTTCCCCTATGAGAACCTGTATTAACCCTCCCTCCCCACAAGAGCTTGTATTAACCCTCCCTCCCCTACGAGAGCCTGTATTAACCCTCCCTCCCCGCAACAGCCTTTATTAACCCTACCTCCCCACAAGAGCCTGTATTAACCCTCCCTCCCCACAAGAGCCTGTATTAACCCCCCTCCCCTACAAGAGCCTGTATTAACCCTCCGAGAACCTGTCTTAACCCTCCCTCACCCACAAGAGCCCAAATTAACCCTTCCTCCTCCACAAGAGCCTGTGCTAGCCCCTCCCATGAGTGCCACGTGTATTAACCCCTCCCTCGAGTGCCACGTGTATTAACCCCTCCCTCGAGTGCCACGTGTATTAACCCCTCCCTCGAGTGCCACGTGTATTAACCCCTCCCTCGAGTGCCACGTGTATTAACCCCTCCCTCGAGTGCCACGAGTACTAATCCCCATCCAGGTCAAGAATCATTCTTCTGCTGTTGTCCCCCGGTTTGACTGAGATGCTTGACCACATCCACCCAGTCCCAGCCCCTCGGCCGGTCTGTGTTGGCGCCATATTTGTCAAAGTACTTCCTCTTCTGGGCTTTTGTCATCTGTTCCTTCTTCTCCCTTTTCTTCTCGGGGGAATTATCCTCAGCCAGAATGGTGTCACTCCTGCTCTCAGCCTAAGGACAAAAACATAGACTATCTACACACAGAAACTGGCAGATGCAGGCATGTTTACATGTTCAGTGAAACACTCACTTGTTCTTAAGTTTAAACAGGGCTGTAGAGTAGCCTAGTGGTTAAAGCATTGACTCGTCACTCCGAAGACCCGGATTCGATTCCCCACATGGGTACAATGTGTGAAGCCCATTTTCCTGTGATCCCAACCATAATATTGCTGGAAAATTGCTAAAAGTGGCGTTGGAATCAGTTAAAGTGCATTGGCTTGAATAAAAGATGGAGGGGTTTGTTTGATGCGTGTGCCTCTATCATGGTCCGTTGCAGTCTCAGTCAGGCAGCGTCTGAACAGGCAGAAACAGGAAGCTGCCAGGGTATGATGAGGGGTATGTTTGGGCGCAGTGAAATGGGGTTAAACGTCGCATCCAAAATGATTGAATTCACATAGTGATGCGTGTGTGTATGTGTGTCTTTGTGTCTGTGTGTGTCTCTGTGTGTGTCTGAGTGTGTCTGTCTGTCTGTACTAGTTAGGACTGATGGCAATCTATAGTGCTAGCCCTCTGAGATACCATGCCGCAGTTTAACATGAATATCCCACTCAGCCCCTTAATGCCAAGCGCTAGACAGGGTAACAACAGGGGGGATGTGTTATATGTGAGCATTATTTAAGTTAAGCAAAGAGTCACCATGTATTGTAACCACAGAGGTTACTGAGGTTACAGTAGTGAGTGAGTGAGTGAGTGTGGTTTTACGCCGCTTTTAGCAATATTCCAGCAATATCATGGCGACGGACACCAGAAATGGGCTTCACACATTGTACCCATGTCGGGAATAGAACCCGGGGCTTTGGCGTGACGAGTGAACGCTTTAACCACTAGGCTACCCGACCGCCCCTCTGAGTTTACAGTAAAGGTGGACCAAAGGTTGACTTGTGATTGATTAGCTAGGCCACTGTGATGGGTTGGTGTGCTTGAGTAGCTTATGTCACACCGTAACCAATTTATGGTGACTGAACTAGGGGGGATCAGGTTGTTTTAGAGGCTTGGTTATGTGACTGAACTAGGGGGATCAGGTTGTTTTAGAGGCTTGGACATGTGACTGAACTAGGGGGGATCAGGTTGTTTTAGAGTTGGACATGTGACTGAACTAGGGGGGATCAGGTTGTTTTAGAGGCTTGGACATGTGACTGAACTAGGGGGGATCAGGTTGTTTTAGAGGCTTGGACATGTGACTGAACTAGGGGGGATCAGGTTGTTTTAGAGTTGGACATGTGACTGAACCAGGGGGGATCAGGTTGTTTTAGAGGCTTGGACATGTGACTGAACTAGGGGGATCAGGTTGTTTTAGAGGCTTGGACATGTGACTGAACTAGGGGGGATCAGGTTGTTTTAGAGGCTTGGACATGTGACTGAACTAGGGGGGATCAGGTTGTTTTAGAGGCTAGGACATGTGACTGAACTAGGGGGGATCAGGTTGTTTTAGAGTTACACATGTGACTGAACTAGGGGGATCAGGTTGTTTTAGAGGCTTGGACATGTGACTCAACTAGGGGGGATCAGGTTGTTTTAGAGGCTTGGACATGTGACTGAACTAGGGGGATCAGGTTGTTTAGAGTTGGACATGTGACTGAACTAGGGGGGATCAGGTTGTTTTAGAGGCTTGGACAGGTGACTGAACTAGGGGGGATCAGGTTGTTTTAGAGGCTTGGACATGTGACTGAACTAGGGGGGATCAGGTTGTTTAGAGTTGGACATGTGACTGAACTAGGGGGATCAGGTTGTTTTAGAGGCTTGGACATGTGACTGAACTAGGGGGGATCAGGTTGTTTTAGAGTTGGACATGTGACTGAACTAGGGGGGATCAGGTTGTTTTAGAGGCTTGGACATGTGACTGAACTAGGGGGGATCAGGTTGTTTTTGAGGCTTGGACATGTGACTGAACTAGGGGGGATCAGGTTGTTTTAGAGTTGGACATGTGACTGAACTAGGGGGGATCAGGTTGTTTTAGAGGCTTGGACATGTGACTGAACTAGGGGGGATCAGGTTGTTTTAGAGGCTTGGACATGTGACTGAACCAGGGGGGATCAGGTTGTTTTAGAGGCTTGGACATGCGACTGAACCAGGGGGGATCAGGTTGTTTTAGAGGCTTGGACATGTGACTGAACCAGGGGGGATCAGGTTGTTTTAGAGGCTTGGACATGTGACTGAACTAGGGGGGATCAGGTTGTTTTAGAGGCTTGGACATGTGACTGAACCAGGGGGAATCAGGTTGTTTTAGAGGCTTGGACATGTGACTGAACTAGGGGGGATCAGGTTGTTTTAGAGGCTAGGACATGTGACTGAACTAGGGGGGATCAGGTTGTTTTAGAGGCTTGGACATGTGACTGAACTAGGGGGGATCAGGTTGTTTTAGAGGCTTGGACATGTGACTGAACTAGGGGGGATCAGGTTGTTTTAGAGTTGGACATGTGACTGAACCAGGGGGGGATCAGGTTGTTTTAGAGGCTAGGACATGTGACTGAACTAGGGGGGATCAGGTTGTTTTAGAGGCTTGGACATGTGACTGAACCAGGGGGGATCAGGTTGTTTTAGAGGCTTGGACATGTGACTGAACTAGGGGGGATCAGGTTGTTTTAGAGGCTTGGACATGTGACTGAACCAGGGGGGATCAGGTTGTTTTAGAGGCTTGGACATGTGACTGAACTAGGGGGGATCAGGTTGTTTTAGAGTTGGACATGTGACTGAACTAGGGGGGATCAGGTTGTTTTAGAGTTGGACATGTGACTGAACTAGGGGGGATCAGGTTGTTTTAGAGTTGGACATGTGACTGAACTAGGGGGGATAAGGTTGTTTTAGAGTTGGACATGTGACTGAACTAGGGGGGATCAGGTTGTTTTAGAGTTGGACATGTGACTGAACTAGGGGGGATCAGGTTGTTTTAGAGGCTAGGACATGTGACTGAACTAGGGGGGATCAGGTTGTTTTAGAGTTGGACATGTGACTGAACTAGGGGGGATCAGGTTGTTTTAGAGCTGGACATGTGACTGAACTAGGGGGGATCAGGTTGTTTTAGAGTTGGACATGTGACTGAACTAGGGGGGATCAGGTTGTTTTAGAGTTACACATGTGACTGAACTAGGGGGGATCAGGTTGTTTTAGAGTTGGACATGTGACTGAACTAGGGGGGGATCAGGTTGTTTTAGAGTTGGACATGTGACTGAACTAGGGGGGATCAGGTTGTTTTAGAGTTGGACATGTGACTGAACTAGGGGGGATCAGGTTGTTTTAGAGTTGGACATGTGACTAAACTAGGGGGATCAGGTTGTTTTAGAGTTGGACATGTGACTGAACTGGGGGGGATCAGGTTGTTTTAGAGTTGGACATGTGACTGAACTAGGGGGGATCAGGTTGTTTTAGAGTTGGACATGTGACTGAACTAGGGGGGATCAGGTTGTTTTAGAGGCTTGGACATGTGACTGAACTAGGGGGGATCAGGTTGTTTTAGAGCTGGACATGTGACTGAACTAGGGGGGATCAGGTTGTTTTAGAGGCTTGGACATGTGACTGAACTAGGGGGGATCAGGTTGTTTTAGAGTTGGACATGTGACTAAACTAGGGGGATCAGGTTGTTTTAGAGTTGGACATGTGACTGAACTAGGGGGGATCAGGTTGTTTTAGAGTTGGACATGTGACTGAACTAGGGGGGATCAGGTTGTTTTAGAGTTGGGAGAGCTGAGATGCATCCAGGGGGGATCAGGTTGTTTAAGAGTTGGACAGGTGACTGAACTAGGGGGGATCAGGTTGTTTTAGAGTTGGACATGTGACTGAACTAGGGGGGATCAGGTTGTTTTAGAGTTTGACAGGTGACTGAACTAGGGGGGATCAGGTTGTTTTAGAGGCTAGGACAGGTGACTGAACTAGGGGGGATCAGGTTGTTTTAGAGGCTTGGACAGGTGACTGAACTAGGGGGGATCAGGTTGTTTTAGAGTTGGACATGTGACTGAACTAGGGGGGATCAGGTTGTTTTAGAGTTGGGAGAGCTGACATGCATCCAGGGGGGATCAGGTTGTTTAAGAGTTGGACAGGTGACTGAACTAGGGGGGATCAGGTTGTTTTAGAGTTGGACATGTGACTGAACTAGGGGGGATCAGGTTGTTTTAGAGTTTGACAGGTGACTGAACTAGGGGGGATCAGGTTGTTTTAGAGGCTAGGACAGGTGACTGAACTAGGGGGGATCAGGTTGTTTTAGAGGCTTGGACAGGTGACTGAACTAGGGGGGATCAGGTTGTTTTAGAGGCTAGGACATGTGACTGAACTAGGGGGGGATCAGGTTGTTTTAGAGGCTTGGACATGTGACTGAACTAGGGGGGATCAGGTTGTTTTAGAGTTTGACATGTGACTGAACTAGGGGGGATCAGGTTGTTTTAGAGGCTTGGACATGTGACTGAACTAGGGGGGATCAGGTTGTTTTAGAGGCTTGGACATGTGACTGAACCAGGGGGAATCAGGTTGTTTTAGAGGCTTGGACATGTGACTGAACTAGGGGGGATCAGGTTGTTTTAGAGGCTAGGACATGTGACTGAACTAGGGGGGATCAGGTTGTTTTAGAGGCTTGGACAGGTGACTGAACTAGGGGGATCAGGTTGTTTTAGAGGCTTGGACATGTGACTGAACTAGGGGGGATCAGGTTGTTTTAGAGGCTAGGACATGTGACTGAACTAGGGGGATCAGGTTGTTTTAGAGGCTTGGACATGTGACTGAACTAGGGGGGATCAGGTTGTTTTAGAGCTGGACATGTGACTGAACTAGGGGGGATCAGGTTGTTTTAGAGGCTTGGTTATGTGACTGAACTAGGGGGATCAGGTTGTTTTAGAGGCTTGGACAGGTGACTGAACTAGGGGGGATCAGGTTGTTTTAGAGCTGGACATGTGACTGAACTAGGGGGAATCAGGTTGTTTTAGAGGCTTGGTTATGTGACTGAACTAGGGGGGATCAGGTTGTTTTAGAGGCTTGGACATGTGACTGAACTAGGGGGGATCAGGTTGTTTTAGAGGCTTGGACATGTGACTGAACTAGGGGGGATCAGGTTGTTTTAGAGTTTGACAGGTGACTGAACTAGGGGGGGATCAGGTTGTTTTAGAGGCTAGGACATGTGACTGAACTAGGGGGGATCAGGTTGTTTTAGAGTTGGACATGTGACTGAACTAGGGGGGATCAGGTTGTTTTAGAGGCTAGGACATGTGACTGAACTAGGGGGGATCAGGTTGTTTTAGAGTTGGACATGTGACTGAACTAGGGGGGATCAGGTTGTTTTAGAGGCTTGGACATGTGACTGAACTAGGGGGGATCAGGTTGTTTTAGAGTTTGACAGGTGACTGAACCAGGGGGGGATCAGGTTGTTTTAGAGTTGGACAGGTGACTGAACTAGGGGGATCAGGTTGTTTTAGAGTTGGACAGGTGACTGAACTAGGGGGGATCAGGTTGTTTTAGAGGCTTGGACATGTGACTAAACTAGGGGGATCAGGTTGTTTTAGAGTTGGACAGGTGACTGAACTAGGGGGGATCAGGTTGTTTTAGAGTTGGACATGTGACTGAACTAGGGGGGATCAGGTTGTTTAGAGTTGGACATGTGACTGAACTAGGGGGGATCAGGTTGTTTTAGAGGCTTGGACATGTGACTGAACTAGGGGGGATCAGGTTGTTTTAGAGGCTTGGACATGTGACTGAACTAGGGGGGATCAGGTTGTTTTAGAGGCTTGGACATGTGACTGAACTAGGGGGGATCAGGTTGTTTTAGAGGCTAGGACATGTGACTGAACTAGGGGGGATCAGGTTGTTTTAGAGTTGGACATGTGACTGAACTAGGGGGGATCAGGTTGTTTTAGAGGCTTGGACATGTGACTGAACTAGGGGGGATCAGGTTGTTTTAGAGGCTAGGACATGTGACTGAACTAGGGGGGATCAGGTTGTTTTAGAGGCTTGGACATGTGACTGAACTAGGGGGATCAGGTTGTTTTAGAGGCTTGGACATGTGACTGAACTAGGGGGGATCAGGTTGTTTTAGAGGCTTGGACATGTGACTGAACTAGGGGGGATCAGGTTGTTTTAGAGGCTAGGACATGTGACTGAACTAGGGGGGATCAGGTTGTTTTAGAGCTGGACATGTGACTGAACTAGGGGGGATCAGGTTGTTTTAGAGTTGGACAAGTGACTGAACTAGAGGGGATCAGGTTGTTTTAGAGTTGGACATGTGACTGAACTAGGGGGGATCAGGTTGTTTTAGAGTTGGACATGTGACTGAACTAGGGGGGATCAGGTTGTTTTAGAGTTGGACATGTGACTGAACTAGGGGGGATCAGGTTGTTTTAGAGGCTTGGACATGTGACTGAACTAGGGGGGATCAGGTTGTTTTAGAGGCTTGGACATGTGACTGAACTAGGGGGGATCAGGTTGTTTTAGAGGCTTGGACATGTGACTGAACTAGGGGGGATCAGGTTGTTTTAGAGGCTAGGACATGTGACTGAACTAGGGGGGATCAGGTTGTTTTAGAGCTGGACATGTGACTGAACTAGGGGGGATCAGGTTGTTTTAGAGTTGGACATGTGACTGAACTAGGGGGGATCAGGTTGTTTTAGAGTTGGACATGTGACTGAACTAGGGGGGATCAGGTTGTTTTAGAGTTGGACATGTGACTGAACTAGGGGGATCAGGTTGTTTTAGAGGCTTGGACATGTGACTGAACTAGGGGGGATCAGGTTGTTTTAGAGTTGGACATGTGACTGAACTAGGGGGGATCAGGTTGTTTTAGAGGCTAGGACATGTGACTGAACTAGGGGGGATCAGGTTGTTTTAGAGGCTTGGACATGTGACTGAACTAGGGGGGATCAGGTTGTTTTAGAGTTGGACATGTGACTGAACTAGGGGGGATCAGGTTGTTTTAGAGTTGGACATGTGACTGAACTAGGGGGGATCAGGTTGTTTTAGAGGCTTGGACATGTGACTGAACTAGGGGGGATCAGGTTGTTTTAGAGGCTAGGACATGTGACTGAACTAGGGGGGATCAGGTTGTTTTAGACCTGGACATGTGACTGAACTAGGGGGGATCAGGTTGTTTTAGAGTTGGACAAGTGACTGAACTAGGGGGGATCAGGTTGTTTTAGAGTTGGACATGTGACTGAACTAGGGGGGATCAGGTTGTTTTAGAGTTGGACATGTGACTGAACTAGGGGGATCAGGTTGTTTTAGAGGCTTGGACATGTGACTGAACTAGGGGGGATCAGGTTGTTTTAGAGTTGGACATGTGACTGAACTAGGGGGGATCAGGTTGTTTTAGAGGCTAGGACATGTGACTGAACTAGGGGGGATCAGGTTGTTTTAGAGGCTTGGACATGTGACTGAACTAGGGGGGATCAGGTTGTTTTAGAGTTGGACATGTGACTGAACTAGGGGGGATCAGGTTGTTTTAGAGTTGGACATGTGACTGAACTAGGGGGGATCAGGTTGTTTTAGAGTTGGACATGTGACTGAACTAGGGGGATCAGGTTGTTTTAGAGTTGGACATGTGACTGAACTAGGGGGGATCAGGTTGTTTTAGAGGCTTGGACATGTGACTGAACCAGGGGGGATCAGGTTGTTTTAGAGGCTTGGACAGGTGACTGAACTAGGGGGGATCAGGTTGTTTTAGAGTTGGACATGTGACTGAACTAGGGGGGATCAGGTTGTTTTAGAGGCTAGGACATGTGACTGAACTAGGGGGGATCAGGTTGTTTTAGAGTTGGACATGTGACTGAACTAGGGGGGATCAGGTTGTTTTAGAGTTGGACATGTGACTGAACTAGGGGGGATCAGGTTGTTTTAGAGGCTTGGACATGTGACTGAACCAGGGGGGATCAGGTTGTTTTAGAGTTGGACATGTGACTGAACTAGGGGGGATCAGGTTGTTTTAGAGGCTTGGACATGTGACTGAACCAGGGAGGATCAGGTTGTTTTAGAGGCTTGGACATGTGACTGAACCAGGGAGGATCAGGTTGTTTTAGAGTTGGACATGTGACTGAACTAGGGGGGATCAGGTTGTTTTAGAGGCTTGGACAGGTGACTGAACTAGGGGGATCAGGTTGTTTTAGAGGCTTGGACATGTGATTGAACCAGGGCGGATCAGGTTGTTTTAGAGGCTTGGACATGTGACTGATCTAGGGGGATCAGGTTGTTTTAGAGTTGGACATGTGACTGAACTAGGGGGGATCAGGTTGTTTTAGAGGCTAGGACATGTGACTGAACTAGGGGGGATCAGGTTGTTTTAGAGGCTTGGACATGTGACTGAACTAGGGGGGATCAGGTTGTTTTAGAGTTTGACAGGTGACTGAACTAGGGGGGATCAGGTTGTTTTAGAGTTTGACAGGTGACTGAACTAGGGGGGATCAGGTTGTTCTAGAGGTGGGAGGGCTGACATGCGGTCAGGAGGGATCAGGTTGTTTTAGAGTTGGGAGGGCTGAGATGCGGTCAGGGGGGATCAGGTTGTTTTATAGGTGGGAGAGCTGAGATGCGTCCAGGGGGGGATCAGGTTGTTCTAGAGTTGGGAGGGTGAGATGCGGTCAGGGGGGATCAGGTTGTTTTAGAGGTGGGAGAGCTGAGATGCGGTCAGGGGGAATCAGGTTGTTTTAGAGTTGGGAGGGCTGAGATGCGGTCAGGGAGGATCAGGTTGTTTTATAGGTGGGTGAGCTGAGATGCGGTCAGGGGGGATCAGGTTGTTCTAGAGGTGGGAGGGCTGAGATGCGGTCAGGGGGTATCAGGTTGTTTTAGAGTTGGGAGAGCTGAGATGCATCCAGGGGGGATCAGGTTGTTCTAGAGTTGGGAGGGTGAGATGCGGTCAGGGGGGATCAGGTTGTTTTAGAGTTGGGAGGGCTGAGATGCAGTCAGGAGGGATCAGGTTGTTTTAGAGTTGGGAGGCTGAGACGCGTCAGGGTGGATCAGGTTGTTCTAGAGTTGGGAGAGCTTAGACGCGTCCAGCGGGGATCAGGTTGTTCTAGAGTTGGGAGGCTGAGACGCGTCAGGGGGGATCAGGTTGTTCTAGAGGTGGGAGGGCTGACATGCGGTCAGGGGGGATCAGGTTGTTCTAGAGTTGGGAGGGCTGAGATGCGGTCAGGGGGGATCAGGTTGTTCTAGAGGTGGGAGGGCTGAGACGCGTCCAGGGGGGATCAGGTTGTTCTAGAGTTGGGAGGGCTGAGATGCGGTCAGGGGGGATCAGGTTGTTCTAGAGGTGAGAGGGCTGAGATGCGTGAGGGGGGATGTCTCACACTTACTAGGTCCCTGTATGTTGGCCATTTGGGAGAGACAGGAAAGTGGAATTGTGATTTGAGTTAGTCAGTTGGCCAGCAGAGGAAAAGAGGCTTAGTTAAGATTTTTGTTCCCAATTTTTCCTGTATACCTAAAACATTTTCTTTTGCATGGAGGATGTATCAGCACACGATTTCCAATGGGTAGTAAGCTTGCAAGTAAGTGCGTGAATTTTCAGGGGGTAAAAAATGCCTAAATTCCTTCCTTTTGTTACTTGAGACACTGTGTCACTCGTACCACTACCATGTCAGGGTACTCTATGTTGTGTACAGAACAGACATGCAAGGGAGATAAATCTGGCAGCCATGCAAGGGAGATAATCCTGGCTGACCTGGTTGACTGGGGCAGACTCAGGCTGTTCTTCGAGAAGCGAGGCGAGGTTGTCCTTCACCCATTCAAACAGTGAGAACGTCATCGGGGAACTCAAGAGATTCTCCACCTAAACAACAATTACAGATGTCAGGGTTGTGATAGCAAATACAATGAAAAGGTGACAATTTCATCATCCATCAAATAATTCACGTTTTAGGGAACCCATACACTATAATGCAAGTCTTCCTAAATTCAAGAAAATCAATTCTTGCAAAAACAGACAAAACAATTATACAAACACAAAAATAATAAAAAGTTTTAGCTGTCAAAACAGTTGCCATGGCACTGTAGCTCACCTGGATAACTTGCCACAGTCTGAAATGTCAACAACAGCCACCTAACAAATAGCAAGAAGTGACCAACATAATGTCTGAGATAGTTGCCTATTTTGACTGGTGTAGCCTTTGGAATTAAATGTTCATTCAGACAATGGGTGTCCCAAATCGGTTGCTGTCTTGGTGCCCCGGAGCACCCAGCCTAGCCCTAGCCCGGAGCACCCAGCCTAGCCCTAGCCCGGCGCACCCAGCCTAGCCGTAGCCAGGCTAAGAGTAAGACCTGTCTCTCTCTCTTTCTCTGTCTCTCCAATTTTCATATCTGGACCAAGGCTTATACAACCAAGGTCAACCGACATTTAGTAAGTCATAAATGTAAAGAACAGTAATCCATCAGTGACATACTTGCACATCTCGTTCAGGATGGCAGACAGTCGATATACAATACAATGAGGATTAACAATTGGGATTAGCATCTTATAAATAACGACAATAAAGTGTTTCGAGGCATATAGATGTCATGGCTCCAGGGTAATTAGCCTTTGGAATTAACTGTTCATTCAGGAACAGTTTATTTATCTTCACCCAGGACCATCGTCGGTACGCTGTCCCAGTTTTTTGTCGTAAGGTAAGTAGTGAATGCATTAAGGAGTAATGCAGCATAAGTAAAAAATACCAAATTTCACAACATTTTGTACGAAAAGTGAATGCACCCTACCGCCGCGCAGCCGCACCAGAAGCATGTGACCACGCCAGATATGGATGGGTGGGCGGCAGGGGTCCGGAAACCGTCATATGCGCCGGACATGTCCGATTGGGAATCACAAATGTCCGGTTTAAAATATTGCTTACCGGACATTTAAATTTTTCTGTCCGGACATTTTAAAAAGTATTGTCCGGACATTCTTAAATTTTGACCGGGCATGATCAACAGTTAGGACTGAGCAGTTTCTGTCTGCAGTTGTAACACAATGAAGATTATCTACACTGACAAGCTTTGTTTGTTATGATTGCTGTAAATACATCGTACCTACATGATAGTCCAATCGGTCAATCACTGTAATAGGCAATAAACTGAGTTGACACTGATTAATCGAGTATTAATTACTAAGAACATCTTGTTAATTTGAGTGAAAGGTGTTTACAACTGTACATAAATACCTTGCATCATTTATGTACCTCATTATCCTCACAATGCTACGATACGTAACCTCAGACAAGAAGCGAAAGCGTGACGACAGCCAGTCGACCGATGCAGATCAGTCGAACCCAGTCTGCCAAACCCTCAAAGTCTGGACGATCATTTGTAAGTCGTGGCTAACGACTTTCACTTGGTTGACATACAATGAGGATTAGCAGATTTTATTGTTTTCAGTAGCTAGTCGTATATTGAATCTTGATTGACCGCCATTTTGCTTTCGGTGACGATCAATATCATTTTTTAATGGTCAATAATGGCCCACTGGGCGCTATAGCGTATGACTCAGGATAAGTATGGGTTTTTCAGATTAAAAACGATGTTTTATTGGTCTGTTTTCAGTCATACAAATGGGTACAAATGGGTATCTCTCATACCTCTAGTCGCACGATTAGAAGGAAGCCAGAAGCTGGAACCTCCCTATGACGTCACAAATCTCGAAGAATAAGCCATCAAGCAGGACTGGACTAGATTACTTCCATGTGGGGATGGCTGGGTGGGAACGTACGACTGAAAACAGACCAATAAAACATTGTTTTTCAATCTGAAAAACCCATGTTTTAGTCTGTTTTCAGTCGCACAAATGGGTAGAATTCGACGGAACACTGGAAGGAGGGTCGGGAAAGTAATCAGGAAGTGACCTCGTTCACGTCGAATGTACGAAGTTCCTCACCCCTGTAGTGACAATAGAACATTCGACCAGATGCACGGACGAGACAAGTTGTTTTTCACAAACGCACAGCATGGTTAATGCTCTTCGACACACAACTAATTATCGATACGACAGGATAAATGCACACGTCAGTTGAACTGCGATCGAAGTGTGGTCGACGTATAGTTAGTTACAGAGCAACTCGCAGTATACAAGGTAACTAAAACAGCATGTTTAATGCTCTTCGACCCACAAGTAAGTATCGATGCGACAGGACAACTGCACACGTCAGTTGAATTGTGATCGAAGTGTGGTCGGCTTATAATGTAGTTACAGAACGACTCGTCGTATCCAAGGTAACTAAAAATAGCATGGTTAATGCTCTTCGACACACAACTAATTATCGATGCGACAGGACAACTGCACACGTCAGTTGAATTGCGATCGAAGTGTGGTTGGCGCATAATTTAGTTACAGAGCAACTCGCAGTATACAAGGTAACTAAAAAATACGAGCAGTACTATAAAGTATGGGAAGACGATGCATACACCGAATAACCATAATAAAACAGCCGAAGTACTGCACGCAACAAAAACCATAAGAATGTGTACATTCACCAACAGTTTTTATTGTAACCTGTTATCTGGCACGAAGTGTCAAGCAAAAAGTCCAAAGTGAATAAAGCACAAATTCACTGTCTTTTCTGGGAGATCTGTTGTGCCACTACGAGTGGACCAAACTGTGCTTCATGTTGAAGCTATGGCTCGAACTTCGTGCAGATGAGAGGAGGTGGAAGGTGCGAGTCCTTGCGCCTCGTAAGCTCTGAGAATGACCGCTCTCAACCAAAAGGAGAGAGTATAATGTGTAATCTCTTTCTTTGCATTGGTTGAGAGCGGCATGAACAGCCGTCGAAAATGTTGTCGTCGCTGTTCAGATCGCTGCAGGTAAATACGAAGCGCACGAACTGGGCACAGGTAGGGAACAGCGTGATCATGAGAGCCCATAATGGCAGACAAGGAAGGAATGTGGAACATTCTCGAATCTTGGCCAGGAATGTGATTTTTTGCTCTAAAAATTCCATCTGAGACCAAGATGGACGTTGCCATGGTTACGCTGATCGAACGTTATCCGGTCGAGGTCAATGGCTTGTAGTTCCGATACTCTCGCTGCCGTAGCCAGCAAGAGAAGGAAAGTCGTTTTCTGAGACAATGTCGAACGCGACCTGATCGAGAGGCTCGTAAGTCTGACTAGACAGGTAGCACAGAACGATATCGAGGTCCCAGGCCGGCAGTCGGAATTAATTTGACTGATCTTCAACCATGAAGGCACGTAGAATTTTCTGCAACTCCGTAATTTTAGTGAGCCTGTCACCCGTAGGAGACGGCACCACAGAAGCCAAGCTGCCAGATCAGTCGAGATCGTCGACCCTTTCAGGCGCCGAGATGACCAGACTGATCGTTGTGAGGATGAAGAAGGAGGTCGTCTCGATCTGGGAACGGGAACGGTGGCTGATCGATGATCTGAAGATGTTCCGGGAACCACGTTCCGGACGGCCAATAAGTCGCGACCAAATCAGAGTCTAGACCCTCCCACGATATCGCTAGAGCGCCGTGGTCCCATGCCCGTGGGTCTGGAACCGGCGACACGAATCGAGGAAGGCAGTTGTTGTACCGGGTTGCGAAGAGATCTACTTGGGGCAACCAGTCGATCTGTCAGCAGATGAAAAGACTGTCGAATGGATCATCCACTCCATGGGAGACAACCTCGATGGTCTCGACAGGGCGTCGGCTAGTTGTCCGAGCCAACCAGTCCTTGTTTTCTCCCCTTAATGCCGAGTGCCAGACGGGGTAACAACAAGTACCATCTGTTAACGTCTTTTGGTATGACGCGGCCGGGGATCGAACCCCGAACCTTCCGCTCTCCGGACGGACGCTCTACCACTAGGCCACGGAGGCAGTCCCAGAAGGGCCGCCGACCGAGTCCTTCTCTGTTTGTTGATGCAGTGGACGACTGTGAAGTTTTCTGACTGTATCATCAGCTGTTTCCGACGGAGTCGAAGTTTCCAGAACACGACCGCCCGAATCACTGCTTCCATCTCAAGGCAGTTGATGTGCAGGACCTTTTCTTCTGGCGACCACAGCCCGGCCGCTTGGTCATCCCTGAAATGCGCTCCCCAGCCTTCCAATGACGCGTCTACGAATAGGTGTAGTATGAACGGAGGCTCGCGGTTTGTCATCATCTTTTGATAACTCAGGCAGAAAAGTGAGATAGCCAAGCCATAGCCAGGCTGTCGTCACAATCCATTGTCGACGTCGATTGTGTAGGCGTAGATGAAGGAACCGGTGTACAGATCGATAGTCCATGGACATCCGATGTGGTCGAACCCTTCTCGGTCGACGACGTCAAGGCTAGTACCGCCGCCGTGATCTGGCCTATCAAAGCCGGGTCGATATGAAAGTGAGACGAGGGTGACGATCTATCATTATCTCTACGACGCTGATCTCCCAAAAAACTCCCTTCGAGAGCGTCACACGTCTCCGTGGGGACGAGGGCTACGATCTCTAACTGTAGAAGTACTACGATCCCTATCGTAGTTATCGTCCGAATCGAACTCCTGACGACCTCGAAGGCGAACGTCGAACGTCCTTGTGTCATTTACTGTCTCTCGACGAGGCACTCGACCTGTCGTCCCGGGGCGGGAACGACTTGTAGAGTGGGATCTGTGTTCACTTTCGACCTGCACGACGTCCTTATCGTCGTTGGTAGGACATGACGGACCAACTGAAGACCGTAGTCCCCTCATGGTCGTTGTCACGAGCCAGTCCTGTCATAACGGGGGTGGCTGAGTGACGCTCTCGATCAACCGATTGACGAAGATCAGTCGTGCGGGTAGTATCATCAGCAGGCAAACGGTCACGTGTCTTGTCGAAAACATAAGTTGACTGGGGCGGGTCTTCTGATTTCTTGGGTGTGGCCGACGCGCCACCCCCAGGGCCAGATGTAGAGGCTGCAGAGTCCAGGGATCCACCCGATGACCTACTCTGCTTGTAGCACTGGTCAGTAGCCCGCTTCGCCAACGCACGAAGATATCAATTAAACTTTATTTAAGTGCTCACATTCTTTACAACGTTTATCCCACGAACACGTTGAAAATCCGTCCTTAATTATGCAGGAAGGACAATACTTGTGAGGATCTACTTTAGACAGTATTATACTTTGACACGAGGCAGAAAAGCCCGACATGCTGCCACATGTATAATCAAGTCAAACAGTGAAACGCATGTTGAACACAAACAATGGATTACCAAGGATTACATTCCAGGAGTCTACAGGTAAAACATATTATTATTACTACTGTATTAGAACAACAACTGTAGACACACAATAAGTACTAGTAGAATACAAACTAGCAGTCTATTGCGAAAGTCTTTCTCGAGCAACCAGCTCAGAGGCGCGCTGAGAGATTTGTGACATGTCATAGAGAGGTGTGTGCGCAACCGAACGGAAACAAGTTTAATGTTTACATTCCAGCTTCTGGCTTCCTTTTAAACATGCGACTAGAGGTATGAGAGATACCCATTTGTACCCATTTGTACGACTGAAAACAGACTAAAACATAAATATTTGTACACCCCAAAATACATGTTTCACCTTATCCTGACTCATACTATTTGCTTGAATCCCAAGGTTGGTGGTTGGATCCACGATATGTGTGGTTCAAATCGTGATCTGTTCAACTAAACTCATGGAAACATCTTGCGAACTCTCTACCATTAGACCATGGAGGTGGTCCATATCTTCAGAAACAAGGATAGATGATAAAAATGGAATGTGAAACTATCTGTCTGGTTAACCTGGCAGTTTATTCTTCGCGATCCCATCAGAGACCCCAGATGTCACTATAATCGAATCAAGCGCGGCTGAAATCTATAGCTTTCTGGCAGCTGTAGCAAAGTTTTCTTTGTCAGATGTTCGAATCCAGTTTCTTCAAGGGGTTCGTAAGCATCACTGGTAAGATGCTTGAGGACTATGTTTAAGTGCTATGCTGGGCCTTGAATTTCTTAAAAAATAAAGTAGCAGTATGATGAAGAAGGCTTGAAGATGGTAATGCAAGTGAAATATTTCTATATTTGATAGGATGGCTTGGATTATTATGACGGCTCAGAAATCAAGCCCAACACCCATGTGGCGTGAGTGATAAGTGTACCAGCTTGTCACATGCTTCCGGTGCGGCTGGGTGCGCCGACGGGTGCATTCGGGTGAGATGTTTTCTCTTTCGGGGGGAACACAGCACTGGAGTTTTCACTGCCTTCTTGGAATGAGATGAGATAAGCAATTAGTATGAGTAAGGATAAGGTGAATTATTGCTTTTTCAATATGCCTGTTGTTGTTGCCATATTGACATTTGGATTCAAAGAAAGTCAAGTGTCATCATTGGTGAGGACAAGTAAATTTGTGAGTCTGGTCCACGACGGACTAAAACTCATAAGTGATTAAAGCTCACTTGGCTCCGACTCGGCCTTATCTGCTTCTGGACGTGGACTTCCCACTCAGACACTCACCTCCTCCAGGATCCCACTTCGTACTTTCTCCTTCACGCCATCAAGTCTGTAGGGAGATGTCATCGCACATACTTAGCAACATTATAATCAATCACAACAGAATTCTATTATTCAATTTCCTGAAGAACTTGTTTAGTGTACATGTGTTCATTGTAGAAGTTATATTTTTTTGTTATTTTTATATTGTCCCCTGCGATGTAAAGTACTTCAGTATTCAGTCAAAACATATTTCTGATTGCAATAGTATGACACAATAAAGATGAAAAAATGTTAAGGTTTTGAAACAAACAGTATCATATTTCAAACTTATATCAACAAGGAGGCAATAATCAAATGCTGAGAACATTTTTTGTTAAAGTTAATTTCGTTATCTTTTGTTATAGCAATAAATTTCTCAATTAGATATAAGTTTTTAAGTAGTTTTAAAAGTTTATCTATTTTCAGTTTGGTTCCTTTGATTCCACATGGATATGCCTTTTCCCCAATAAAAGTATACGATTGATTGAAGTACTGAAGCGATTACAACCAAAACAAAAAAGACATTTTGTCAATTTAATTTTTTGTGAAAGATAAAATGTTACAGAAGAGAAAAACAGTTGTCATACATGTGCTTGTTGTAGAAGAGGTCGAGGTTGACGTTGGGGGCTTCTTCGGGATAACTGTCACCCCAGGATATCTCCACCAGGAACGCCTGATGATCACCATCCTCGCCGTACTGGAACACCACACAGCGACACTGATGTTATCACAGACAATACTGAACTCAGTTCAACAAGCTGTTGTCATATCGGGGCCAGCACCTACCTTGTTTCTTTCTTTGTTGTTTAACGCCGCACTCAGCAATATTGCAGCTTTATGACAGCCGGTCTGTTAATAATTGAGTCTGGACCAGACAATCCATTGATTGACATCATGAGCATCGATCTACACAATTGGGATACAATAACATGCCTCAACCAAGTCAGCGAGTCTGACCACCCAATCCCATCAGGCCTCAAAGTTGCAACTAAAACGGTCACCATTGAGACCTAAATTTCAATTTGTCTACTGACAAAAATTCAGAGGTCACCAAATGACTACCTTGAAAAGTATCTTGTGGTGACTAAATTCCATTGCTTCACATACGTAGAAACAAACATAAATAATTTGATCGATATTTGTGATGCCATTTTCTCGATCGCCAGTGTTTTCACAGTCGCAATGGTATGCATACACCGTACTCATCATCTGTTTCATTAACATTCCCATAGCTCAATGCAGCATTACGAGGGGTTCGGTTATGTAAACTGTCACAATGTCCGAAATACCTTTTCCATTTCAATTCATAATTTTTTATAGATAGATTAAAAAAATATTCACTATTTTCCACAATGTTATTGAAAATAAAATTCTCGGACACACACTTCGTCGAGTCCACATCGAACATGTCAAAGTGCAAAATAAAGACGTTTGAAGGAAAATTTTAAATATACTATACAAAGTAAGGTAATAAATACAATGAACAAAAATATTTCTAAAAGTTGACAAACTTACATCTAAGTTGTTTTTTCCATCTTTTCGTTCAATCACATTTAATTTAAGTCAAATACATCTCGGCTTTCATCGCCTCACTCGGACACGTTTAATGCCAAAATATATGCATGAAAAATCTTTGGCAAAGCGCGTAACCAAGCATGAAACATCCATGAAGTTCCATATTTTAAATATAGATCGCAATTTCTTGCTTTAAAACATTAGGAATAACAAGGTTTAACAAAAATATTTCGTCAAAATCTGAAATTCATAACACACAAGGACAGTACCATAGCTGTAATTTGATTGGCTGCCTTAGGGCACATGCTCAAATTTGACCAATCACGAACCTTACATCAGATTTCGGCAAGTAAGCGTCATTAGAAACCAATTTTATCCAATAAAATTCCATGTTAGAATTGCTACAGATCCAGACACCAAGTGATGTTATGACCGTGTAGTGATGTTACGACCGTGTAGTGATGTTACGACCGTGTAGTGATGTTACGACCGTGTAGATTAAAAAACAATCTTTCCAGTGATGTGTCATATGAGAGTCTTCGATGAACGTGTTATTCATACGTAGTTTCGAAAACAGAGGTATTTCTTCATGTTACTGAGCGCCTTTTGCGGGAAATAAATTATTTGCTAATTTAACAAAAGAGTGAACCTGGAACAATATTCATGGCATAATGAAATGTAACACCATTTACAACACCGGGATTCAGTTTTAATGTCTTATTACTTTGAATATATTCAGTTACGATCTAAACACACATTGTCGAAAACCTATAGAAATCTGTTAATGACAGACTGTCAATTGTCTCCTGCATGCCAACGAAAAGAACTCAGATTGTGGAAAACATGTCTGCTATTGATAACTGTACTCGGGAATAATTCCTCAAAAAGTCGACAATGAACAGAAATACATAATTATAATGTAACTACGATTTTATTTTAGTTGACAATGCTTATTGGAAAAGCACGGATATATCTATGTCATCTAGTAAAATAAATTGCATCATTCGAGTAAGAAATAACAAAATTCAAGTATACTCTTTACTAATATACAGTTTCAAGCCTAGTGCTATGACTTGTACACAATACATTGTATATAGTAGTTATTTGATAAAAGATAATTTCAAATGTTTTTGGCTACCTAAAATTTGGGCTTGTCTTGTTGATTTTACCACAGGCTACCTGGAAAAAAAAATTAACTTTGAGGCCTGCCCATAAGATGCCTCTTACGACAAGCATAGTCGCCTTTTACGGCAAGCATGGGTTGCTGATGACCTATTCCATTCACCTACCTTATACTGGAAGCAGGTGGGGCTGATCTGTTTAAACTTCCCATCGCCATCATAGATAGAGTGCAGCACCTCCAGCTCCTCCTGTAGGAAACACACACATCTACCTGTCAGCGCAGAAGCCCTTGACTCACCTCCAGATAACGTGTTGGATGTATATAAGGGTTCTAACTATCGGCTTGACTCGGAAAGCAAATTAGCTCGTAATTGTGTTTCGGAATTTAGCTCCTTTGTACAGATGCTGAAAAGCTACATTGGGTATTTACCATGTTTACGAGAGCTGTTTTTATCCATTTGAGTCTTTCATTCAATGCATGCATTTCTGTACGCAAGTTAATTGAAAGTGATTGGGTTTTGAATACTTTCGGGGGGTATTTTACGGTAATACGCAGCTTATCTGTAGCTCTGTCTTGAAAAGAGGAAGTTTCAGCTTCATTTTTAGCACTGTTGATTGGAAAAAGCAAACATTCAAGAATTTCAATTTTAATGTCTTGAACAAAGGTGAAAATTCTACATGTGAGGTACAAGAAGATTCTGCCTTATGGATGATGCTAACATCAACATCAGTGCAATGATGTTTCTCACCTCAACTATTGTCACGTACCTCTTGCTGTTCCTGGCAAGACATTCCTGAGTGAGCGAGATCAGGGTGTTTGGTTCACGCTCTCACTGCTCATTGTCAGGACGTATGCTACAGACAAGAAAACGACAATGAGGAAAAACTCTACCATGTCAACCAAAACAAAAGATATCCTGGATAGGCTGTGCACCAGGTACAATAACAAGGTCTAGTCAAATCTAGATATTTGTATATTTGTCGTTTTCTCTTCGACAAATTCCTGGAGGATATGTAAAAAAATCAAAGTGTTATTGTCTCATACATCAGCTTTGTTAGTGTGGATATTAAAGTGGTCCATTTTTATAATGATAACGGAAATAAGTAACTGTTTCATATAAAGTTAAAAAGTTTTTTGTCTTTCAATACATATTCATGAAGACATCTCAAACTTAAGGTCGTAGTTCACAAATTGCATGTGCATGTTCATACACAGCTTGCAATTTGAATGTTTGGGTGTTTGTTGGGAGCATGATACTCAGTCACACACGGTTATTGACTGTAAACAGCATCCAATGATTGCTTAGCTGTCAAGTGCTCATAAAAACACTTTTGCTTGAACTTAAATAACGCTTACACAAGCTTGCTTATGGAAAACCAAACATTTACAAACAGGAATGGTGCAAAACAAAATTGCCACACGTTTTAATCTTAATAGAAACACAATATTTATCAACAACATGGCAACACTCATGACTTGCAATGTGTCTGTCGCCGGTGTGTGAAGTCATGTCAACAAGAGAACCATATTCGGTTGTTGCATCTATGGAATAAATACCAAGGAGAAGACTGGGACAGTATACTTTTCAGAGATGAGTCCAGGTCTCATGTAGACAGCTCTGATGGTCGTGCAAGGGTCTACATGCATCCAGGAGAGCGTTTTAGCATAATGGTATGGGGTGGCACCACAACTCATTGTTAATGGTAATTTGAATGGCGTACACTACCGGATCAACATGACCAACATAGTTCATGTAAAATGTTCTACTCCTTGTGCAAATGCAGGGACGTGCCATACCGTAGCAGCAGGATAATGCCCATACACTGTAAGTGTTGAAACTTTTGGAGGCAACATAATATTGCTGTACTTCCATGGGGGTTGCGATAATTTCGCACACCAAACGAATTTGTACCCCTAGAAATTTCGTACCCCTTAAAATGAGAAATTTTGTACCATATTTAATCTCGCTTTATATACATTTATAAGGTTATAATTTTTTAATTTGAAGTTTACACGATACACAGCTTTTTATTGGACGAGAGATCGGTCACATTTCCGAGAAATTGACGTTCGTAAGTGTTTGAACGACACAATTTGATGTTCATACGTGTTTCATGAGACTGTGTTCTTGATGTAAACACTGACGGACTTCTTCCACATTCCTAGGGGAACCCTGGGAATTCCCTTGCACGAATACATACAGAATTGTTCTTTCCAATCATTTAGACCCTTCAATCTTCAACTCAGCGTTTCAGTATACATTGAGCAACGTCAGAGAGTTTGACTGAAAGATCGTTTACGAATATCCTCGCTACGACAGAACCTTAGAGAACAAAACGAAGAAATGCACATCCACACTATCGAAGTATTGACTTGATCCGTGTCTAGGCTGACACTGACAGTCTACAGCAATCTATGAATTTTACTTAATGTCTAATTAACACATCTTTAATCACAATGATCGACCAGTTGATCAATGATGAATAAAAGCATGTAACAGCCACAGGTTCATTAACAATTTCCGAAATCTTTCCCGACACTTTAATCATGTCGACCATTTTGACGTCTTGTACTTGATGTAAATGTATTACGACGCGCTGTCATTGTGACTGACATACTGAGGTAGTTCTTATCAGACATTTCTCATCTTACATTTGCTGTAAAGAAACTACAAAAGTTGTTCCTGTAGAGCATGTTGAGCATATATACGTTCATGTCGCCTCTCGTTATGAGGAACTATTTTATTCCACGATACAGCTGGTTGTTGTACGGCTGTCAGTCTAAACATGAAGTCACACATAGTAAACATTGCGTAAGATCTAGATTCTATGACGTACAAAATAGTGATAAGCTTCGACGTTCATACAGTTTGGTCCTCACTCTATGAAGGTTCATACTCAAATGAAGTCATACAAAGTGAAAGTCAATTCATAAATATTAGGTCCTATTAAACTTTTTTTCTAGGTTTTAAAACATCTTACGTTTTCGAACAGCCATTTTTATCGTGATTTCTCGCTAATTGTGTGACATCACAGTGGAGCAGTCCATTCATATCGTAAGGATAAAGAGCAAAATTTACATTAAATTTGGACATAGACTAATGTCAGAAACGTGATACCTCCAAAAAAGCATTGACATTTTAATGGGAAACTTTCATGCATTATTTTCTGACATTTGCAGTTCAGTATATACACAAACATACAACTATGCATACAACTACATGTATCATCATACAACATACACAACCAAAAACATCACAAGTAAAAGAGTATTTGCATTCACATTTAAACATTTGTATAGAGAGTGATTGTTTTTCTCTATACAAAAATAGTATGTTAAACACACTATCACCGAGTTTCTGTGGTTTATTGCTTATTTCATTGGGTTATTTCACATAACGTAATTTATTGCTTATTGAATAGGAGTATGAAATTATACTTGCGGTCTGGGGTAAATTTTTTATCTTTGTAGGGGTACCAAATTGCACCCACCCACAGAGGTTTCTCCAGACCTGTCCCCCAAAAGAACCTGTCTCGGGTGAGATAGGGTGACACCTAACGGGACCAGAAGCAGTCAGTAATGTTCTGGCATGTAAGTTGGGCCAATCTTCGGTTGACATTTTGGACATCCCATTTTTTACAATCATCTGGTGTGTTCTTTTCAATGCGCTACCGCTGCTGCGGCTGTATCAACGCAGCCGCACCCGACATTCACAGAGTATCATTTCACATTGTATGTGAACAATTATTTTTGCAAAACCATGTAATTTGGAGGATATGAACCAAAAGTGTAATCAACCAGTGTTGACTCTAATAACAACCACAACTAGGTAATAATGGAGTGATTAAACTCAACAAACTGCCATTTGTCCCGCTTGTGTACTACATGTATTACGCTAGAATTTAGTAGAATTGCATACTGCACCGTGAACCGATGGCCGATCACGATTCTAAATGACGTGCGCGAAAACAGATTCATTTAGTTTACAGACAATGTTTATGCGTCATACCTGCTTTCAATCGGGCGAGGCGATCCTAATTACTGACAAAGAAAAACACACAATTATTCAGATCATTATCATGTCGTTACATTTGACGTGTGCAATGGCACCTCACCTACAATACGGAGGGGATCATGCTTTGGCTATGGGCGCAGCCATTTTTACTTCCCATGATTCAGTGCAAAATATGTAAAAATGAAACATGCAGGAAACGAAACTAGAGCGAGTGTGAAATGAAATATATGAAATCTTTTTCAGATTCCTTGTTTGAAAATACTGAATGCCCAATGCTTGAAATCGGTGGTCAATATAATTGTTTTCCTATTTACTCACGACTGAAGGAGGTTATACGTCTGTAGTTTCGTAGCAATAATGTCACTTGATAGTTGATCACGCAGCAGATGAAGTGGTGGTCCTCTCACCACAAGATCAATCATGATAATACTCCACCACGCCAAAAGTACAAACTTTTTACTTCATTCCAATTTTTTGTTTACCCAACAATCAGCAATATTCCAACTGTATGATGACAGCCTCTACCAGACAAACCAGTGATTGATGTGAGGAACACCCCACCCCCCAATATTCGCCAATTACAAGTATAGACTACTGTGGATCTATGTCAACCCGGAATCCCCACATATGGACTGTTGATGTCACACATACCAATTAATTATAATAGGTGTGTATGCACACGTACTAGGGCTGGGACGGGTAACTCGGGTACTCGGGTCAGGTGGGTCCTGAGTAGGACCCGGGTACCCACAGGACTACCCGGATCCGTGGTTAGTCACGTGATATATTGTTTAATGACAAAAACTTATTGTAGCTCAGTGGTTACACTACAAGAAGCTAGCATTTCTCTCTGACGATGTACACATTCCTTTTGACTTGTATATGTTTGAGTAAAGATAAAGCTTCAGTAAACTTCAGTGAACGCATGATCTGATTGTTTGATACATGTATGTGAATAGTTTTAGGCAGGGCTGCGGTAAAACAATTATCAATCAGACATTTTGTTCCCTACTCTTGAGACTTGCAGTGGGTAGCCGGGTAGGGTCGGGTAATAGGGGGTCGGGTACCCGGGCAGTAAATTTGGACTCGTCCCAGCCCTAACACGTACACACGCACGTACGCACGCACGCACGCACCCCGCACACATACCAATTCAACTGTATTTCATGCTATCCATATAAGTCGCTGTACCTAACGAGAAGGTGTCGGATCATCGCTTTTGAACAGGGGAGCTGTGATTTAACAATGAAAATATCCGTTTTTGTAACTGCGATCATACGATCTCGAATATTTATCAAATAATGGGTAGGTTTCTCGGCAGGATAAAGCAAACAGATAAAAACGATATCCGTGGGGGTCATATGCGGATAGAGATGCAAATATCAAAGGTCAAGTAGGGACTACTTTCACTGTTTATAAAAAAAAACATAGCGTCGCCCTTGTCATTCGGCGATCGAGTCAGAATTAACCATCGGGAATCTGGATATACTACAGGGATAATTGCTATCATTATCAAAAGAACAGTCTAATATACTGAAAGTCAGTGTCTAACTGTGACGTAGCTAAGGCATTTTATAAGTTTTGTCAACTTTGGAGATATAACTTTCGAAACAATTTTGCGAGGGCACGAGGCCTAGCCAAGCGGGATCAGTAGATCTAGCCATATCTGTGCTTGTAGACCTCTGCGGCTTGAAACCTTCTCTACAAATTAAAATAGTTGGATCTGGCCGAAATATGTTTGAAATGTTACCTTGTTTGGTTTGGTCGCTGTGTGTACATCTGACTACACTTCTTAACGTTATGACAGGACAGACCGACTGTCAACAACGTCTGACCGTGGCCGTGACGTCTCAAAGACTAGGGTTAGAGTAGCTTCCCTTTGACAAAGGGCAGTTACTCTAGCAGACAGACCGATGGATTGCCGCGAAAGGCAATTAAAAACAATTGTTATTTTGCGTATATGTTGCTTCGCCTCTGTATAAGAAACAGATTTCAGTTGGAACTATATTGGCTACTGTCACTGTCCGACTGACACACCACTTACCCTGTGACGTAATAAATATTAATGCGCGCATTCCAGGAAAAGAATTAAAGAATGAGATTATGTGATAAAGAGGTTATCACGCTTGTGTGTTTGGGGATGGTAAATATCCTGTATTAGGAATAAACTCTTTTTATTTAGCTCGCCAAGGCTCGCTAAATACAATGTTTATTTCTTATGCAGACACACTCGCGTGATAACCTCTATGTACGAGTACATGTTATTGACGTCATGACTCATGACGTCATGGATTCGTGGACGAGAGAGAATATGTACGAGTATCGCACAGAACACCGTGTGATAAAGATATACCGAGGTAGGATTTGGGTATAATGTAACCGATGTAAAGACAAATTCATACTGGGACCGAAAGATGTGAGTTGGTTGTGACATTTGGTGAGATGGCATATCGCGTCTGGTGTATTTATTTATATTTCATTGTCTTAATCAGAGTCCTGTGATTCGACACCACAGCCAGAGTTTATAGATCGCTCCCTCCCCCCCCCCCCCCCCCCCCCCCCCACACACACACACCCACTCCCTCCCGCCCTCACTCACTCGCTCAGCCCATGGTCGGTGTTGAAAGACGCTAGCAAATTGCACTTTGTGTCAAACGGATTTATTTCGTGAAATTATTTGCATGGCATGTTTGAAGCACAAGGTCACAGAGACGACGACGGACGATATGACGTCATCTATGTACGCGGTAAACAAGTGCTTGTGTCCCCTGACACCACGAAGCCAATGAAGTTGAAAGGTCAACGACCCCAGCAGTGGTGTACTCACTAATATCAGGTATGTTTATAACACCGTCGCCATGTGTACATCGTTGTCATTTGGAAAATGCGGACCATTACACAGTACTGTATAGGGTTGTTTAACTCCATACACAGTAAGTATGGTGTTCTAAACTTGTGTTTGACGTTTGTTTGTGCATTCTAATGAAACCTTGTTATTACCCCCCCCCCCCCCCCAAATCTTCTGTCTGTTTATCTCCCGTCTGTTTATCTTCTGTCTGTTTATCTTCTGTCCGTTTATCTTCTGTCTGTTTATCTCCTGTCTGTTTATCTCCTGTCTGTTTATCTTCTGTCTGTTTATCTCCTGTCTCTGTTTATCTCCCGTCTGTTTATCTCCTGTCCGTTTATCTTCTGTCTGTTTATCTTCTGTCTGCTTATCTCCCGTCTGTTTATTTCCTGTCCGTTTATCTTCTGTGTGTTTATCACCTGTCTGTTTATCTTCCGTCTATTTATCTTCTGTGTGTTTATCTCCTGTCTGTTTATCTCCTGTCTGCTTATCTTCTGTCTGCTTATCTCCCGTCTGTTTATCTTTTGTCTGTTTATCTCCTGTCTGCTTATCTCCCGTCTGTTTATCTTCTGTCTATTTATCTTCTGTGTTTATCTCCTGTCTGTTTATCTTCTGTCTGTTTATCTCCTGTTTATCTCCTGTCTGTTTATCTCCTGTCTGTTTATCTTCTCTGTTTATCTTCTGTCTGTTTATCTCCTGTCTGTTTATCTCCCGTCTGTTTATCTTTTGTCTGTTTATCTCCTGTCTGCTTATCTCCTGTCTGTTTATCTGATGTCTGTTTATGCCCCGTCTGTTTATCTCCTGTCTGTTTATCTCCTCTCTGTGCATCTCCCGTCTGTTTACCTGATATATGTTTATCTCCTGTCTGTTAATACCATGTCGGCTATCAACGGAGACACTAAATAGTACATAAAGACCGACACCTGTAACGTTAATCCTGTGATCTGATAATGTGACGTTTTGAGTCTTCAGCCGAAGATATTGTGACGCTGTGAGTGTTCAGCTGACGATGTTGTGACGCCGCGAGTGTTCAACCGGCGACGTTACTGTTGATCCAGTCGCTGAAGGAGGATAGTTTGGTGCACACCGTAGGCATTGTGACGGGGCAATGCAGTGTCGACCATGACAGGACCCCGACAACCACGTATTTTTCGTCATGGCGACACACCAGACTTCCGCCACTGTCCCCCTGAAACAACAGAGTGAGTGGAGTGAGTGGATAGATGGGTGAGTGATATAGTGAGTAACTTGTTTGATAGGCATTACTTAGAAGTTGGCGGATGACAAGATAGACACAATTTTATGGATAACAACTTCTTTAATACTGTAAAAAGCGACGTTTCGGTATAGATCCTTATACCGTTGTCAAGCAAGACTGAATGAGGGACATAGTGTGAGTGACATATAGTGAGTGAGTACGAAAGTTATATCACGGCATGTCAGCTGTGTGTTGACATCCAAAAGTGATGCAGGTGAAACACACGATCGATTGTAGGTATGGATATGAATGATATTCAAGCTTCGAATCTACGACTGCGAGAGACTGTCCAAGAACCCTGGACTGCAGTAATGTACATCGCCCGACGTACTAGCCTAATAGTAGCAACGAACTAGCCTAATAGTAACAACGTACTATCCTAATAGTAACAACGTACTATCCTAATAGTAACAACGTACCAACCTAATAGTAGCAACGTACTATCCTAATAGTAGCAACGTACTAGCCTAATAGTAGCAACGTACTAGCCTGATATTAGCAACGTACTAGCCTAATAGTCTGGGACATTTGCCACTTCAGCAAAACCCATGAACAGACTCAGTGTGTAGCTCTATCTATAAATCTACCTAAGAATTCAGGCGAGGACATACGCCAGTACGGAACATGCCGTGTATTACCCGTTACGCATCTTACAAAATAAAAAAAAGTAATAATTTATGATTCCGTCAACTTGCACAACAACAGTGAGCCGACTTGTGAAGTACACACGAGGGGTTGACAGCGGACGGTAGACTCCCTACTGGGAGGACGCTTGTGTGGTACACACGAGGGGTTGACAGCGGACGGTAGACTCCCTACTGGGAGGACGCTTGTGTGGTACACACGAGGGGTTGACAGCGGACGGAAGACTCCCTACTGGGAGGACGCTTGTGTGGTACACACATATCAACACGAGTTTCCACTTTTATCAACGAGTGTTGATATATTTCATATCAGAAGACACGAGGGTAAGATTTTATTTATCATTCAACACATCTTCCAACTTTTTCAGTTTGTAGACCATGGGCGGTATTCATAAACATTCTTAGAATTTTCTTAAGAATACTCTTAACTCGCTAAGAAAATTCTTAGATTTAAGAGTAACTTTTGGTATTTCTAAGAATTTTCTCAGACTTAAGACCTCTTTAGCACTCTAAGAATGTTTATGAATACCGCCCCATGTTGACAGTGTCTTAAGTAAAAAGTACTGCTAACAGCTTCATTCGCGGAACCATTAGTGATGCCTTTGATTGTGACGTCACAATGGTCTGCAAAGCATTGTGATGCAGCGATATCTGAAAAGTAGACATCGCTTGATCTCACCAAAGCGATATCTCCTGTGGAAGCCAGTTTTGGATGATAAATAGAGGTTATCACGGCAGTGTGTTTGGGGATGGTAAACTTCCTGTATTAGAAATAAACATTGTATTTAGTAAGCCTTGGCGAGCTTAATACATGGTGTTTATTCCAAATACATGACATTTACCATCCCCAAACACACAAGCGTGATAACCTCTTTATCATATAATGTCATTATTCAATTCTGTTCGAAAATCTCTTTCCATCTCTCACAAATTTTATCTAAACATTGCAATTTTTCCTGGAATGTCCGCATTAATATATATTACGTCAGTGGGTAAGTGATGTGTCAATCGGACAGTAGCCAATATAGTTCCAAGAGAAACCTGTGTCTTATACAGTGGCGTAACTACATATATGCAAAACAACAACTGACAAGACAAATTGTCTTTTCTTGCCTTACGCGGCAATCCATCGGTCAGTCCGATAGAGTAACTGCCCTTTATCAAAGAGAAGATATTCTAACCCTAGTCTGTGAAACGTCACGGCCACAGTCAGCTATAGACGTTGTTGACAGTCGGCCGGTCCTGTTATAACGTTACGAAGTGCAGTCAGATGTACACACATCGACAAAACGAAACAAGGTAACAATTCGTACATATTTCGGCCAAATCCAACTGTTTTAATTTGTGGAAAAGGTTCCAACCCGCAGGGATCTACAAGAACAGATATGTAAAGTGATCCCGCTTGGCTAGTGCGAAAATTGTTTCGCAATTCATATCTCCAAAGTTGCCTAAACTTGTAAAATGCCTAAGCTACGTCACATTTAGACACTGATTTTCAGTATATAAGACAGTTCTTCTGAAATGATACTTATTATCCCCGTGGTTTCTCCAGATTCCCGATGGTTAATTCTGACTCGATCGCCGAATGACAAGGGCTACGCCACGTTTGTTTATAAACAGTGAAAGTAGTCCCTACTTGACCTTTGATATTTGCATCTCTACCTCATATGACCCCAACGGATACCGTTTTTATCCGTTGGCTTTATCCTGCCGAGAAACCTACCCATTATATGATAAAACAATATCTCTGTATAGTATCTGTCAGACTTGTGGTTATACAAGTCTGTTCATAACGTCGTACGCGTCCTAGGGTAACAAGGCGACTCACGTGGCAGATGGTGTTTGGACTGTCGGTGTTGATGGCGCAGAGTTGTTGAGGCTGGATGCTGCTCAAGAATTTGTGGCAGTCAGCAAGGGGGATAACTCGGGTTGATGCTTGCTGTAGTGAATCGGGAACAGTCCAGTTGACATCTTGAAACAACAGAATGCCATATAACATGTGCACGCAACAGAGTAAGGAAGAGAGTATTCTTGTCATGGGTACCCGAGTTACCCTAGCACCAAAGTCATGTCCCAAGATGCTCCCTGGAGTCTGGTTGATCGGGGGTTTAATCTCAGTCGCCTGGATGACGGAGTTCGCGGACTGAATTAGTTGAACGGTTCTGATTTATTGTGAAGTTGCTGACATGGCAGCACGCCGACTACATGGAAGGGTATGGCACACTGAGTTGGAGGTAGTGTTACCTTGTACAATTACATCATTATGTTAAAGGAAAGGCCAAAATCATCCGGGTACTTGGTTGTTGTTTAACGCCACACTCAGTATTTCCTCCTGTTTTTTCACGGCTGCCTGTTAGTAATCGCGTCTGGACCAGACAATCCAGTGACAGTACAGCCTGACACCCCGATCCCGTTAGTCGCCTCTTACAACAAGCAAGGGTTGCTGAAGACCAGTTCTAAGCCGCATCTTCACGGGGAGACAAGCAAAGGCTGCTGAAGACCCATACTGACTCGCATCTTCATTGGGGGCGGGCCTTTAGGGTAAGGGGCGGGGTACCGGAGCATGGACCAACACGGGTGCTGACAGCCCAAAGATCATTATCTGTTGAAGCTGACATTAGATTCCACGATCAGCGGATTCTGAACGGCGCCACGCATTCGTCACCTGCCCCTCTCTACATATAGATTGACACGACGGTAGATGTGGCGAAGAGACAACGTATGCATAAAGCTGGTTCAGTGTTAGGGTCCGAGAACAGCGGATGTCGGCATAGGGCATGTTCTGCCATGGGATATCTACACAGTTGTGCCTTCATAATGGGATGGACCCAGTTCAACTGCAGTTCATGTGACAATTAGACGCGACCCACCTTTCTCCGCTCCCCAGCCGGCGAGGTAGCAGTCATTGATGTCCGACTCCGGCGGTGTTGTACTGGATGTGGAGATGTTGAACAGTGCGGGTTGTGTCCCCTCGTTAAAGGTCAATGTTTGGTCAAAGTTCAAGAGGGCAAGGTCGTTGGGTTCACCGTATCCTCGGCGGGACCACTGAGGGTGCTGAGAAGAGAAGATGCTGATTTGACCAGGGAGTCTGTATATATAGCTCAGATCCCCACACGGGGCGATACGCACTCACTCACTAAACAGACAGTGTCCCTGATTTGACTGTCTCGCTTTCAGGTTATCTACGTGTTGGGGTCAATATGGTCTATAAGTCTGGGCAGTGTCATTGTCGTCAATGATACCACATTTACGTGTTGGGGTCAATATAGTCTATAAGTCTGGGCAGTGTCATTGTCGTCAATGATAGCACATTTACATGTTGGGGTCAATATGGTCTATAAGTCTGGGCAGTGACATTGTCGTCAATGATAGCACATTTACGTGTTGGGGTCAATATGGTCTATAAGTCTGGGCAGTGTCATTGTCGTCATTGATAGCACATTTACGTGTTGGGGTCAATAGTCTATAAGTCTAGGCAGTGTCATTGTCGTCAATGATAGCACATTTACGTGTTGGGGTCAATATGGTCTATAAGTCTGGGCAGTGACATTGTCATCAATGATACCACATTTACGTGTTGGGGTCAATATGGTCTATAAGTCTGGGCAGTGACATTGTCATCAATGATAGCACATTTACATGTTGGGTCAATATGGTCTATAAGTCTAGGCAGTGTCATTGTCGTCAATGATAGCACATTTACGTGTTGGGGTCAATATGGTCTATAAGTCTGGGCAGTGACATTGTCATCAATGATAACACATTTACATGTTGGGGTCAATATGGTCTATAAGTCTAGGCAGTGTCATTGTCGTCAATGATAGCACATTTACGTGTTGGGGTCAATATGGTCTATAAGTCTGGGCAGTGACATTGTCATCAATGATACCACATTTACGTGTTGGGGTCAATATGGTCTATAAGTCTTGGCAGTGACATTGTCGTCATTGATAGCACATTTACGTGTTGGGGTCAATAGTCTATAAGTCTAGGCAGTGTCATTGTCGTCAATGATAGCACATTTACATGTTGGGGTGAATATAGTCTATAAGTCTGGGCAGTGACATTGTCGTCAATGATACCACATTTACGTGTTGGGGTCAATATGGTCTATAAGTCTAGGAAGTGACGTTGTCATCAATGATAGCAGTGGCACTGGTACATAAGTCTGTCGGGGGAGAGGAGTGGTACTGATACATAAGTGTGTCGGAGGAGATGAGTGGTACTGATACATAAGTGTGTCGTCGGAGAGGAGTGGTACTGATACATAAGTGTGTCGGAGGAGAGGAGTGGTACTGATACATAAGTGTGTCGGAGGAGATGAGTGGTACTGATACATAAGTGTGTCGGAGGAGATGAGTGGTACTGATACATAAGTGTGTCGGAGGAGAGGAGTGGTACTGATACATAAGTGTGTCGGGGGAGAGGAGTGGTACTGATACATAAGTGTGTCGGGGGAGAGGAGTGGTACTGATACATAAGTTTGTCGGAGGAGATGAGTGGTACTGATACATAAGTGTGTCGGAGGAGAGGAGTGGTACTGATACATAAGTGTGTCGGAGGAGAGGAGTGGTACTGATACATAAGTGTGTCGGAGGAGATGAGTGGTACTGATACATAAGTGTGTCGGAGGAGAGGAGTGGTACTGATACATAAGTGTGTCGGAGGAGAGGAGTGGTACTGATACATAAGTGTGTCGGAGAAGATGAGTGGTACTGACACATAAGTGTGTCGTCGGAGAGGAGTGGTACTGATACATAAGTGTGTCGGAGGAGATGAGTGGTACTGATACATAAGTCTGTCGGGGGAGAGGAGTGGTACTGATACATAAGTGTGTCGGGGGAGAGGAGTGGTACTGATACATAAGTGTGTCGGAGGAGATGAGTGGTACTGATACATAAGTCTGTCGGGGGAGAGAAGTGGTACTGATACAAAAGTTTGTCGGGGGAGATGAGTGGTACTGATACATAAGTTTGTCGGGGGAGAGGAGTGGTACTGATACATAAGTTTGTCGGGGGAGAGGAGTGGTACTGATACATAAGTTTGTCGGGGGAGAGGAGTGGTACTGATACATAAGTTTGTCGGGGGAGAGGAGTGGTACTGATACATAAGTGTGTCGGAGGAGATGAGTGGTACTGATACATAAGTCTGTCGGGGGAGAGGAGTGGTACTGATACATAAGTTTGTCGGGGGAGATGAGTGGTACTGATACATAAGTTTGTCGGGGGAGAGGAGTGGTACTGATACATAAGTGTGTCGGAGGAGAGGAGTGGTACTGATACATAAGTGTGTCGGGGGAGAGGAGTGGTACTGATACATAAGTCTGTCGGAGGAGAGGAGTGGTATTGATACATAAGGCTGTCGGAGGAGAGGAGTGGTACTGATACATAAGTCTGTCGGAGGAGAGGAGTGGTATTGATACATAAGGCTGTCGGAGGAGAGGAGTGGTACTGATACATAAGTCTGTCGGAGGAGAGGAATGGTACTGATACATAAGTCTGTCGGGGGAGAGGAGTGGTACTGATACATCAGTCTGTCGGGGGAGAGGAGTGGTACTGATACATAAGTGTGTCGGGGGAGAGGAGTGGTACTGATACATAAGTTTGTCGGGGGAGAGGAGTGGTACTGATACATAAGTTTGTCGGGGGAGAGGAGTGGTACTGATACATAAGGCTGTCGGGGGAGAGGAGTGGTACTGATACATAAGTGTGTCGGAGGAGAGGTGTGGTACTGATACATAAGGCTGTCGTCGGAGAGGAGTGGTACTTACAATGATGATGTTGGAGATGCCAACATCCTGTTGGTCGGGTGATGTCGCGGTTGGATTTTTGACGCCGAAACGCAACTTGTAGCCTGACAGAGGACTGGAACCGAGAACACGACGAAGACAATTAATCATTTTGGCAAGTGGGGAACAATGGAACACATGGGGCATCAAACCACGAGTGGGGAACAGTTGAACATGCAGGGAAACAGCTGAACATGGAGAGGAACAGTTGAACATGTAGAGGAACAGTTGAACATGTAGAGGAATAGTTGAACATGCAGGGAAACAGCTGAACATGGAGAGGAACAGTTGAACATGTCGAGGAACAGTTGAACATGTAGAGGAATAGTTGAACATGTAGAGGAATAGTTGAAGATGCAGGGAAACAGTTGAACATGTAGTGGAACAGTTGAACATGTAGAGGAACAGTTGAACATGTAGAGGAACAGCTGAACATGTAGAGGAACAGTGGAACATGTAGAGGAACAGCTGAACATGTAGAGGAACAGTTGAACATGTAGAGGAACAGTTGAACATGTAGGGGAACAGTTGAACATGTAGAGGAATAGTTGAACATGCAGGGAAACAGTTGAACATGTAGTGGAACAGTTGAACATGTAGAGGAACAGTTGAACATGTAGAGGAACAGCTGAACATGTAGAGGAACAGTGGAACATGCAGGGAAACAGTTGAACATGTAGCGGAACAGTTGAACAAGTAGAGGAACAGTTGAACATGTAGAGGAACAGTTGAACATGTAGAGGAACAGCTGAACATGTAGAGGAACAGTGGAACATGCAGGGAAACAGTTGAACATGTAGCGGAACAGTTGAACATGTAGAGGAACAGTTGAACATGTCGAGGAACAGCTGAACATGTAGAGGAACAGTTGAACATGTAGAGGAACAGCTGAACATGTAGAGGAACAGTTGATCTTGTAGAGGAACAGTTGAACATGTAGAGGAACAGTGGAACATGTAGAGGAACAGTTGAACATGTAGAGGAACAGCTGAACATGTAGAGGAACAGTTGAACATGTAGAGGAACAGCTGAACATGTAGAGGAACAGTTGAACATGTAGAGGAACAGTTGAACATGTAGAGGAACAGTTGAACATGTAGAGGAACAGTTGAACATGTAAGGGAACAGCTGAACATGTAGGGGAACAGTTGAACATGTAGGGGAACAGCGGAACATGTAGAGGAACAGTGGAACATGTAGGGGAATAATTGAACATGTAGGGGAACAATTGAACATGTAAGGGAACATTTGAACATGTAAGGGAACAGTTGAACATGTAGGGGAACAATTGAACATGTAGAGGAACAGCGGAACATGTAGAGGAACAGTTGAACATGTAGAGGAACAGCGGAACATGTAGAGGAACAGTGGAACATGTAGGGGAATAATTGAACATGTAGGGGAACAATTGAACATGTAAGGGAACAGTTGAACATGTAAGGGAACAATTGATCATGTAGAGGAACAGTGGGAAATGTTGGGAAACAGTTGAAGTTGTGGCAGACAAATATATCCGTGTAGTGACTGTATGTATGTAATATATCCTGTAGTGACTGTACATATGTAATGTATCCCTGTACTGACTTTATGTATATAATGTATCCCTGTAGTGACTGTATGTATGTAATGTATCCTGTAGTGACTGTAGGTATGTAATGTATCCTGTAGTGACTGTACGTATGTAATATATCCTGTAGTGACTGTATGTATGTAATATATCCTGTAGTGACTGTATGTATGTAATGTATCCCTGTAGTGACTGTATGTATGTAATGTATCCCTGTAGTGACTGTATGTATGTAATGTATCCCTGTAGTGACTGTACGTATGTAATATATCCTGTAGTGACTGTATGTATGTAATGTATCCCTGTAGTGACTGTATGTATGTAATATATCCTGTAGTGACTTTATGTATGTAATATATCCTGTAGTGACTATATGTATGTAATATATCCTGTAGTGACTGTATGTATGTAATGTATCCCTGTAGTGACTGTATGTATGTAATATATCATGTAGTGACTGTATGTATGTAATGTATCCTGTAGTGACTGTATGTATGTAATGTATCCTGTAGTGACTGTATGTATGTAATGAATCCTGTAGTGACTGTATGTATGTAATGTATCCCTGTAGTGACTGTATGTATGTAATGTACCATGTAGTGACTGTATGTATGTAATGTATCCTGTAGTGACTGTATGTATGTAATGTATCCTGTAGTGACTGTATGTATGTAATGTACCATGTAGTGACTGTATGTATGTAATGTATCCTGTAGTGACTGTATGTATGTAATGTATCCCTGTAGTGACTGTATGTATGTAATATATCCTGTAGTGACTGTATGTATGTAAAGTATCCTGTAGTGACTGTATGTATGTATGTAATGTATCCTGTAGTGACTGTATGTATGTAATATATCCTGTAGTGACTGTATGTATGTAATATATCCTGTAGTGACTGTATGTATGTAATGTATCCCTGTAGTGACTGTATGTATGTAATGTATTCTGTAACGACTGTATGTATGTAATGTATCCTGTAGTGACTGTAAGTATGTAATGTATCCCTGTAGTGACTGTACGTATGTAATGTATCCCTGTAGTGACTGTATGTATGTAATATATCCTGTAGTGACTGTAAGTATGTAATATATCCTGTAGTGACTGTAAGTATGTAATGTATCCTGTAGTGACTCTAAGTATGTAATGTATCCCTGTAGTGACTGTATGTATGTAATGTATCCTGTAGTGACTGTATGTATGTAATGTATCTCTGTAGTGACTGTATGTATGTAATGTATCCCTGTAGTGACTTTATGTATGTAATGTATCCCTGTAGTGACTGTATGTATGTAATGTATCCTGTAGTGACTGTAAGTATGTAATATATCCATGTAGTGACTGTATGTATGTAATGTATCCTGTAGTGACTGTATGTATGTAATATATCCTGTAGTGACTGTATGTATGTAATATATCCTGTAGTGACTGTACGTATGTAATGTATCCCTGTAGTGACTGTACGTATGTAATGTATCCTGTAGTGACTGTATGTATGTAATCTATCCCTGTAGTGACTGTACGTATGTAATGTATCCCTGTAGTGACTTTATGTATGTAATATATCCTGTAGTGACTGTAAGTATGTAAAATATCCTGTAGTGACTGTAAGTATGTAATGTATCCTGTAGTGACTGTAAGTATTTAATGTATCCCTGTAGTGACTCTATGTATGTAATATATCCTGTAGTGACTGTATGTATGTAATGTATCCCTGTAGTGACTGTATGTATGTAATGTATCCCTGTAGTGACTGTATGTATGTAATGTATCCTGTAGTGACTGTATGTATGTAATGTATCCCTGTAGTGACTGTTAGTATGTAATGTATCCTGTCGTGACTGTAAGTATGTAATGTATCCTTGTCGTGACTGTATGTATGTAATGTATCCTGTAGTGACTGTATGTATGTAATGTATCCCTGTAGTGACTGTAAGTATGTAATGTATCCTGTTGTGACTGTAAGTATGTAATGTATCCTGTCGTGACTGTATGTATGTAATGTATCCCTGTAGTGACTGTATGTATGGAATGTATCCCTTTAGTGACTGTACGTATGTAATGTGTGGCCCCTTTGTAATATATCCTGTAGTGACTGTAAGTATGTAATGTATCCCTGTAGTGACTCTACGTATGTAATATATCCTGTAGTGACTGTATGTATGTAATATATCCTGTAGTGACTGTATGTATGTAATGTATCCCTGAAGTGACTATACGTATGTAATATATCCTGTAGTGACTGTATGTATGTAATGTATCCCTGTAGTGACTGTATGTATGTAATATATCCTGTAGTGACTGTAAGTATGTAATGTATCCCTGTAGTGACTATACGTATGTAATATATCCTGTAGTGACTGTATGTATGTAATGTATCCATGTAGTGACTGTAAGTATGTAATTTATCCCTGTAGTGACTGTATGTATGTAATGTATTCTGTAGTGACTGTATGTATGTAATGTATCCTGTAGTGACTGTAAGTATGTAATGAATCCTGTAGTGACTGTATGTATGTAATGTATCCCTGTAGTGACTGTATGTATGTAATGTACCATGTAGTGACTGTATGTATGTAATGTATCCTGTAGTGACTGTATGTATGTAATGTATCCTGTAGTGACTGTAAGTATGTAATGAATCATGTAGTGACTGTATGTATGTAATGTATCCCTGTAGTGACTGTATGTATGTAATGTACCATGTAGTGACTGTATGTATGTAATGTATCCTGTAGTGACTGTATGTATGTATGTAATGTATCCTGTAGTGACTGTATGTATGTAATGTACCATGTAGTGACTGTATGTATGTAATGTATCCTGTAGTGACTGTATGTATGTAATGTATCCCTGTAGTGACTGTATGTATGTAATATATCCTGTAGTGACTGTATGTATGTAAAGTATCCTGTAGTGACTGTATGTATGTATGTATGTAATGTATCCTGTAGTGACTGTATGTATGTAATATATCCTGTAGTGACTGTATGTATGTAATATATCCTGTAGTGACTGTATGTATGTAATGTATCCCTGTAGTGACTGTATGTATGTAATGTATTCTGTAACGACTGTATGTATGTAATGTATCCTGTAGTGACTGTAAGTATGTAATGTATCCCTGTAGTGACTGTACGTATGTAATGTATCCCTGTAGTGACTGTATGTATGTAATATATCCTGTAGTGACTGTAAGTATGTAATATATCCTGTAGTGACTGTAAGTATGTAATGTATCCTGTAGTGACTGTAAGTATGTAATGTATCCCTGTAGTGACTGTATGTATGTAATATATCCTGTAGTGACTGTATGTATGTAATGTATCCCTGTAGTGACTGTATGTATGTAATGTATCCCTGTAGTGACTGTATGTATGTAATGTATCCCTGTAGTGACTGTATGTATGTAATGTATCCTGTAGTGACTGTAAGTATGTAATATATCCATGTAGTGACTGTATGTATGTAATATATCCCTGTAGTGACTGTACGTATGTAATGTATCC